CCACCAACAGGATGTAACGCTCGTGCCCCTGGCCACGGACGCGTGCGGGGCCCCACACGTCCATGTGGAGAGTCTACAGAGGAGCCTCTGTCGGAGGAAACTCGGAGGAGTGAGGGGCGGCGCGCTGTCGCCCCTCGACGCAGGGGACGCAGGTAGGGGCAGGCCCCGGAAGTAGGGGAGGGAGAGACCGGGGGAGACCAAAGACAAGGACACGGGAGGCCATGCCTCGGAGATAAGGCAGGGAGGGGTGACCAAGGCGGTGGTGCCAAAGGAGAGTCTGGTGGGACAGGAGACGAGACGAGCAGGGAGCAGACTCAGGACCAGACCTGGACGCTGCAGCAAACACCTGACTCGACGCAGCTACCTGACTAGACTTAGTAGCCGGAGGAGACTCAGTAGTAAGTGTGTACAAGCTCGACCCCGGCCGACGGGTGAACGTGGCCAAGTGTCGGCCTGTCCGAGCACACGTGCAGTGGGTCACCCGCTGACTCGCAGGAGTGAACTGGTCAACCCCCCTATCCTGTGGATCAGCTCCACTCACCAAGTTCGTAGAGAACGAGGGGAGGTAGAGACCTGACAGGGTGCCAGAGGGGGCTGCCGGGCACGGTAAGACAGTGGAGAAGCTAGCAAGGACAGGATCCCCAGAGGGCTCCGCCAGGGAGACCGCAACCGGCCGTCTAAGCGGCGTAAGTGTGGTGCGGTCTCGAAAGAAGGAGCGGGAAGCACCCGAGTCAAGGGTGAAGGTGTGTAAGGCCTGAGCTGACGTAGTACGTGAGAGAGCAGACTCACCATCACCTGGGGCAGCAGACGCACTAGCACCTAGAGCAGCAGCCTCACCAGCACCTAGAGCAGTAGCCTCAATGCCCGGGTCAGGCGGAACACACAGGTAACAGTCACCCTCATCACTAGTAGGCAATGCATACATGGCAGTGAGGATAGCATCATAGTCAAGAGCATAGATATCGACCCGCAGCCGAAGCAGCTCCACCCAGTCGGGGAACACAGCCGCATCGCCAAACTCCGTACGCCAGGTGTCGCTCAGATGGGCGAAGAAGTGGGACGCTGCGTGACCGAACGTCTCGCAAGGCTGACTAGTCCGAGCACTAGTGCGAATGACGTACGGACAGCGAGCAGTACCCCGTGACCCGTCACGCTGCGCATACCACTCACGAAGCTGCTGGGGCGAGAGGACCACTCGCGGACGACGCTGAGGCTGCACTTGGCCACTACAAGTAGCTGCCGAACCACTCACTCCAGGATGACTCCCACTACGGCCACCCCGACAACCCCAACTAGCGTACCACTCACGAAGCTGTTGGGGGGTGAGGGACTCACGCGAGCGACGTTGCAGCTGCACGTGGCCACTACAAGCAGCTGAGGAACGACTCATTCTAGGACGACTCCCACTACGGCCACCCCGACAACCCCAACTAGCGTACCACTCACGAAGCTGTTGGGGGGTGAGGGACTCACGCGGACGACGCTGGAGCTGCATCTGGCCACGCCAGGAGCAGCAGTAGCAGTAGAAAGAGCAGCAGCAGTAAGAGCAGGATTAACAGCAGTACGGGCAGGGCAGTGCTCACCAGTGGCGAGAAGGGCAGGCGTACGACGGCGGCAACGGCGATGCCGCTACCACTGTAGAGCGAGAGCTCCGCGGCAGCTGCAGTGGCGGCTGCTCCAGGGGCGGCTGCTGCAGTGGCGGCTGCTCCGGGGGCGACTGCTGCAGTGGCGGCTGCTCCGGGGGCGGCTGCTGCAGTGGCGGCTGCTCCAGGGGCGGCTGCTGTAGTGGCGGCTGCTCAAGGGGCGGCTGCTGCAGTGGCGACTGCTCAAGGGGCGGCTGCCGCACTGGCGGCTGCTCCAGGGGCGGCTGCTGCAGTGGCGGCTGCTCCAGGGGCGGCTGCTGCTGCTGGGCGGCTCGGCGGCTCGGCTGCCCGCTAGGGGCGGCGACGGGGCCGGGTAGGGGCGGCGACGCGGCCGCTAGGGGCGGCGACGGGGCCGCGTAGGGAGGGGAGCGGCGACGGGGCCGCTAGGGGCGGCGACGGGGCCGCTAGGGGCGGCGACGGGGCCGCGTAGGGGCGGCTACGAGGCCGCGTAGGGGCGGCGACGGGGCCGCGTAGGGAGGGGAGCGGCGACGGGGCTGCTAGGAGCGGCGACGGGGCTGCTAGGAGCGGCGACGGGGCCGCGTAGGGGCGGCGACGGGGCCGCGTAGGGGCGGCAACGGGGCCGCGAAGGGAGGTCAGCGGCGACAGGGCCGCTAGGGGCGGCGGCGGGGCCGCGTAGGGGCGGCGACGGGGCCGCGTAGGGGCGGTGACGGGGCCGCGTAGGGGCGGCGACGGGGCCGCGTAGGGAGGGGAGCGGCTACGGGGCCGCTAGGGGCGGCGACGGGGCCGCGTAGGGGCGGCGACGGGGCCGCGTAGGGGCGGCAACGGGGCCGTGTAGGGAGGTCAGTGGCGACGGGGCCGCTAGGGGCGGCGACGGGGCCGCTAGGGGCGGCTACGGGGCCGCGTAGGGAGGGAAGCGGCTACGGGGCCGCTAGGGGCGGCGACGGGGCCGCGTAGGGGCGGCGACGGGGCCGCTAGGGGTGGCTACGGGGCCGCGTAGGGGCGGCAACGGGGCCGCGTAGGGAGGGAGGCGGCAATGGGGCCGCTAGGGGCGGCGACAGGGCCGCTAGGGGCGGCAACTGGGCCGCTAGGGGCGGCGACAGGGCCGCTAGGGGCGGCGACTGGGCCGCTAGGGGCCGCGAGGGGCCTGGAAGGGCGGCTACGGGGCCGCTAGGGGCGGCGACGGGGCCGCTGAGGGTGGCGCGAGGGGCCGTGAGAGGGGCCTCTAAGAGAGGTCGACAAAAGGGCAGCCCACAAGGCGCGCCTCGGGCAGGAGCGACTGTCGCTCTGGTCGGAAAAAAAAGTTTCAGTGGTGGGCCCCAGGAAGCGTTCCCACTAGGGAACCTGCTCTATACCATGTGAAGAAATGAGGGATGAATGAACTAGCAAGCAGGTGGGTACAAGTAGGAAAACCTAGAAGTGTTGTACCCCATAGTGTCTACCCCACTATAGCCTACACAGACTACAACATATAAGTTTGACAACCCGTGTGATGGTTCGTGATAGATTTGGTAGAACATGTGACCGTTCATGATAGATTTTGTGGAACATGTGACTGCTCGTGATAACTACGAAATGTTTTATGACGGCCCGTATAAAAAAAAAAAAAAAAAATCGCCTCAGGCAAATTGGGGGAGTGGGTCTAGGTAGGTCTAGCGCCCGAGCCGCGCCCTTCCCCGTGGCCGTTTACATCTATTTCGGGTTATCCATACAAACCAGCATTCTCCATTAGCGTGTGGTTATATTACCATTTTTTGTTTGGGGCGAGCCCGGTACAGTGCCATGGGACATTTGAATGTGGGTTTCTTGTTTTCCCGGAAGGCTTACTGTAGCTTCTTTTCTTTCAAGGGACTTTCATCTCAACTTGCACACACTTTCCGCTGATCCGCTTCTAAGGCGGAAGATTTATTGTGCTAACACAGAACTCGGCTTTTTCGCACGTCTCGCATGCACTGTTTTTCATCGGGTTTCTTCTGCCAGGAACCACAAAACTAAGTACCTCTCGGATGGAAAGTTTTCAAGGGCATCAACCCTAAACACCACGCGACAAGGTGTTTAGGGTTGATGCCATACATTAGCATGCCAGCCAAGAGGGATGTAGTTTTGGCATCAACCCTAAACACTTAGTCGCAAGGTGTTTAGGGTTGATGCCCCTTAACACCTGCCAGCCGAGAGGGATTTAGTTTAGTGCGGATAGAAAGGCAAAACACCGAGATGATGACACGTGGGTAAATGTTGAGTCGAGTTCTGTCTTCACGCAATAAGTCTTCTGTCTAGGCCGCAAAACCTGGAAAACTGTGTGCAGGTAGAAAAGAAGGTCCCTAAAAAGCGCAGGTTCGGAAGTACCTCTTCCGCCGTAGCTAAAAACCCTTTGAATGTCCAGGCAAATGTGCCTACACATGCGGTGCTGTTTGCCAACCTCCCCCTCCAATCTGCGCCAGCTCCCCCATGGCGCAGGTTTTCCGCGGAGCAGTCAATCCAGAGATATTTTTCGTTGACACTGGTTTGACGCGCGCCTCACCGTCCTGAAATTTTGCTTCCGCCTGGCTGCCGAACTGGGCCTGGAGTGCCACTTCCTGGATGCGTTAATTTGCCGCGGATTAGGCCCTGAAAGCGTGCTCAAAGTGCTGCAAATTTCCGACGTAAATCGACGTCGAGGTTGTCGGGCATGGTAGGTAGGCTGAGGGGTGCCATTTTTGTGTTCGAAGTACGCTTCAGAAATTGCTCACGCCAGCATCAACACTTGTACGGAATTCAGCGCATCTGTACAGTGATGACGAGACCACATCAGACAGAACAACAACAAAACAAGAATTGAATTCTCGAAATTAACGAGCCTGTACGATTCGTACTGCGGGCTTCGCAGCCATTAGTGGCACTGTCTACGCATGCGAAACGGCCTTGCGATTTCCAAAATTCGTTTGAATTCAATTGTTTTACTATTTAGGCCGGCATTTGTCCTGAGCGGAAGTTCGTCGCCGGCGTTGTGTTCAAAGTGCCGCGTTCGACGTCGATCGACGTCGAGCCCGACGTCTGCCGACGTTGAGCCTCCGACGTCGGAGGATATATGAAATTACTGTGAACACGCTTCTAGTGCTGTCAAGAAGGAGTGTAATGTCAAGATGGGAGTTGGGCGAACCGCTGCATACGTGGCGAACAGCCAATGGCGTCACGAAAGAGAAGTGCATCGGCGACTTTCGCGACTGTAAACTTCGGCCGCACATCTGGTCAAGTAACCCTATCCCCTGCCCCCCCAGCTCGCAAGCCCTTGGATGGGGATAGGGTTACTTGACCAGTGTCAAGTACAGTAAACACCGCGCCGTTGGCCCTATACATATGCACAAGGGATAGGGGCTGGTAAATTTATGACTCTGAACTTCAGTTTTTTCGTCATAAGGTATGGCTGGAATCATCATCACTCTGAGCGGAGGGTCCGGCCCGTCAGTTGCAACCATAGCCGCGCTCGCCGCCGCAGCGACAGCTGTCGGCCTCTCCTTGGTCGGACTGCGCGGTCTGTTTCAATGGGCCAAACGCGCACACAAATGCGCGCGGCAACGCTTGACGTGGCGCAGCGTGTTTACTGGCGAGAAGCACGGCGGCGGCGCGGAAAGGGAAAGGGAGCGCGTGGCTCATCTGATTCCGCTAATAGAACGATCGGCGAGTTCGGGGAAAGTGAAACGGATCGAGCGATTCGGCGAATACGTAGGTGCGTGCGCGGCGTCCGAGTCGCTGACGTAGTAGGGAATGGAGATTAATCGCTAACTTAGTGGGCATAAATATCAGCAAGCCATTGTTTTATATTTCGTTCAGCATTTGTTTTGCTCTAGAGGCATTGGTTCACGTGTCCCTTTTTCACGACGGTCGTGCAACGGTCAGTGCGCAAAGGTGGGGACACCTCAAAATTGGGCATGCATTGTGTCGTATATTTTTTTGCAGAGATATCCCTACCCGGGCCGGCAGTCTCCAACCCACTGTCCTTCGCCTCTCCTTTTTTCCCAATCCATATCCTTCGCCTCTCCTTTTTTCCCTTCTCCCTTCCGCCCCTCTCCTCCCCCTTCTGCCGCGCGCCTTTCCCCTCCACACGCCCCGTCCCCGTTCCGCCACTCCCCCTTTTCCCGTCCGCCTCCGCTTCCCCCGCCGCCAGTGCGCCAGCTGGGCCTGCCCACGGACCTGGCGGCGGCGGCGCTACTGGCGCAGGCGGCGGACGACTACGTGCGGGGCGAGAAGAACACATCCGATAAGAGCCGCGCCAACCTGCTCGCGCTCGTCGCGCAGACGGGGGGCGGGCGCGTGGCGTGGAAGGGGGAGGCGGGAGCGGAGGCGGAGGCGGAGGCGGAGGCGGGAGACGAGGGGGGGCCGGGGGAGGCGGCGGGATTAATGCGGGGTTCAGAGGCGGAGGTGGAGCAGGTGGGGGAGGAGCTGAGCGCAGAGCTGGACGCGTGCATGCTGTCCTACTTTGGCTTCCACTGGCCGCACTCCGCGCTCATGATCGAACAGGTGCGTGGGAGGGGGAGAGGGAACGGGAGGGGAGGAGCAGTGGGGTGGTTGGGGTGGGAGGGTAGAGTAATCTATGATGCTTCCACTGGGCGCACTCGGCGCTCATGATCGAACAGGTGCGTGGGAGGGCACGGGGTGGGGAGAGGGGAAATGGGAGGGGAGGAGGGGGCAAGAGGAGGGGAAGAATGAGACTCAATTGAGTTACTTGCATTAGCCAATGCGTACTTGCGTGGAACAAAAACTCACCTGCTTTGCGCATAACTGGATCAGCGAGCGTAGAGCGTCAGAAGGTAGCGTCATCGCAAGTTTCGTGCAGCCTGGGCGAAGTTCACAGCTGAAATCGTCCGCCACAACGGCTTTTTTTATATCCTGCTGGAGGGAGGATGTACGAACAGAATAAAGACACATATTTTAGGAATATGTACGTAAGGAAGGAACGGCTAGACTGCAGCGGCCATTGTCACGTGCGATCCAGTGTGCGAGGAAAATAGAGCATGTAAAATTTTCCAAGTGAAAATGAACATGTGCTGAACTGTCAGAGGATTTTGAGTTGTGAGGGAGAGAGGTATGTGTTGCGTTGTGTGGTGTGGTGTTAGGTCGCACGTGAAGATTGTCGAAATGTTGACGAATGAGCTAGCGAGGTCGTCGAAACCTGGTGTTGATTACAATAATTCAATCCTACGGATTCAGAGGCACCATGACGATGCCTAGCGAATACATGGAAACCCTAACATTTTGAGCTATTGTTCGCCCACGCTAGTCCAAATCAAATCCGTGCTGTCACATCTGATGGTGACAACGCACCTTCAGAAGTGTCGCAGTTTGGTCAGACTGCACTGCTAACCCTCCTAAACACTGTTCCAAGTGACCTCAGCCATTGCTCGTGGGATGGTCGGGGCGCATAGATGGGGAAAACCCATATTTGGGCATGGTATGTGGGCTCGCGAAATTCGTAGAGAACTGAATTGCCACTGGCCGGACCATGCGGTCATGTTGGAACACAGTGGGCGGGAGGCAAGGGAAGGCAAGGCAGGGGATGAATTTTCAAGACAACTAAAAATATTGGCAGCACATGCATCTCTACCATCCCTGTGCGCCCATCCCTGTGCGCCCATCCCTGTGCGCCCATCCCTGTGCGCCCATCCCTGTGCGCCCATCCCTGTGTTCCCATCCCTGTCTTCCCATCCCTGTGCGCCCATCCCTGTGCGCCCATCCCTGTGCGCCCATCCCTGTGCGCCCATCCCTGTGCGCCCATCCCTGTGCGCCCATCCCTGTGCGCCCATCCCCGTGCGCCCATCCCCGTGCGCCCATCCCTGTGCGCCCATCCCTGTGCGCCCATCCCCGTGCGCCCATCCCCGTGCGCCCATCCCCGTGCGCCCATCCCTGTGCGCCCATCCCTGTGCGCCCATCCCTGTGCGCCCATCCCTGTGCGCCCATCCCTGTGCGCCCATCCCTGTGCGCCCATCCCTGTGCGCCCATCCCTGTGCGCCCATCCCTGTGCGCCCATCCCTGTGCGCCCATCCCTGTGCGCCCATCCCTGTGCGCCCATCCCTGTGCGCCCATCCCTGTGCGCCCATCCCTGTGCGCCCATCCCTGTGCGCCCATCCCCGTGCGCCCATCCCCGTGCGCCCATCCCCGTGCGCCCATCCCTGTGCGCCCATCCCCGTGCGCCCATCCCCGTGCGCCCATCCCTGTGTTCCCATCCCTGTGCGCCCATCCCTGTGCGCCCATCCCTGTGCGCCCATCCCTGTGCGCCCATCCCCGTGCGCCCATCCCCGTGCGCCCATCCCTGTGCGCCCATCCTCGTGCGCCCATCCCCGTGCGCCCATCCCCGTGCGCCCATCCCTGTGCGCCCATCCCTGTGCGCCCATCCCTGTGCGCCCATCCCCGTGCGCCCATCCCTGTGCGCCCATCCCCGTGCGCCCATCCCTGTGCGCCCATCCCCGTGCGCCCATCCCGGTGCGCCCATCCCCGAGCGCCCATCCCCGTGCGCCCATCCCCGTGCGCCCATCCCTGTGCGCCCATCCCTGTGCGCCCATCCCTGTGCGCCCATCCCCGTGCGCCCATCCCCGTGCGCCCATCCCCGTGCGCCCATCCCTGTGCGCCCATCCCTGTGCGCCCATCCCTGTGCGCCCATCCCTGTGCGCCCATCCCTGTGCGCCCATCCCTGTGCGCCCATCCCTGTGCGCCCATCCCTGTGCGCCCATCCCTGTGCGCCCATCCCTGTGCGCCCATCCCTGTGCGCCCATCCCTGTGCGCCCATCCCTGTGCGCCCATCCCCGTGCGCCCATCCCCGTGCGCCCATCCCCGTGCGCCCATCCCTGTGCGCCCATCCCCGTGCGCCCATCCCCGTGCGCCCATCCCTGTGTTCCCATCCCTGTGCGCCCATCCCTGTGCGCCCATCCCTGTGCGCCCATCCCTGTGCGCCCATCCCCGTGCGCCCATCCCCGTGCGCCCATCCCTGTGCGCCCATCCTCGTGCGCCCATCCCCGTGCGCCCATCCCCGTGCGCCCATCCCTGTGCGCCCATCCCTGTGCGCCCATCCCTGTGCGCCCATCCCCGTGCGCCCATCCCTGTGCGCCCATCCCCGTGCGCCCATCCCTGTGCGCCCATCCCCGTGCGCCCATCCCCGTGCGCCCATCCCCGAGCGCCCATCCCCGTGCGCCCATCCCCGTGCGCCCATCGTCGTGCGCCCATCACCCTGCAGGTATTCCGGGGACCAAGCAAAAAACTGCAATTGAGGGACGCTGTCAATGCTGTCATTCGGTGAGCCACCTCTGTCTGTCTGTCTGTGTGTCTCTGTGTGTGTCTGTCTGCCTGTTTGTCTCTGTGTGTGTCTGTCTGTCTGTGTGTCTCTGTGTGTGTCTGTCTGCCTGTTTGTCTCTGTGTGTGTCTGTCTGTCTGTGTGTCTCTGTGTGTGTCTGTCTGCCTGTTTGTCTGTGCGTCTCTCCATCCTCTTATCCAAATAGCTGCTATTCCCAACCCCACCTCAGCGCTAAACAAGGATGGAAAAAACAGAGTGCGACCTAATGTTCTCTCTCCCTTCCTCCCCACCTTGCCATTCTTCTCCATGCACCCAGCGCCGGTTCACCGAGGCCATAGCGTGTCTGCGCCCGCAGCAGTGGTCTTCATCTCCTCCTCACTTCCCCCCCTCCCTCCACTCCCCCCCCCTCCCTCCACTTCCCCACCTCCCTCCACTTCCCCCCACCCCCCTGTGCAGCCAGCGCCGGTTCAACGAGGCCATAACGTGTCTGCGCCCGCAGCAGCGCTTCTCCCAGCTTCTGCACAAGATGCAGATCCTCGGCTGCGGCCCCCGCCCTGGGGGAGCGGGGGGAGCGGGGGGAGAGGGAGAAGCGGGGGGAGCAGCTGGAGTGGAGGGGGCGGGAGGAGCGGGGAAAGTGGGGCAAGCAGGAGAGAGCAAAGGGGGACCGGGGCAAGGGGAAGCGAGGCAAGGGGGAGTGGGTGAGGAGGGCAGTAAGCTAGCGCGTGCTGGCTCTAAGAGTGAGATTGGCCGTGACGGTGACCCTCACTCTGTCTTCCATTTCCCCACTTCCTCCCCTTCTCACTCCCCTTCTCACTCCCCCTCTAACTCTCCCTCTCACTCCCCGTCTCATGCTCGCTCGCCCTCCCGCCCGCGCGCCTCAAGTGTGGAGGTCCCGAGGGAGGGGGAGGTGATGGTGCCGGCAGCAGTGCCGGCAGCAGCGGCGGCGCGCTCCCCCGTGCTGCTGCTGATTGGGGGAGGCGCGGGCGCTGGCAAGTCAACTGTTGTGAAAGAAATCATGAAACGGTGAGTTGAGGGATAGGGTGAGTGTGTGTGCAAAGGCGGCGCGCTCCCCCGTGCTGCTGCTGATTGGTGGAGGCGCGGGCGCTGGCAAGTCAACGGTGGTCAAGGAGATCATGCAACGGTGAGGGGAATGAATGACTGCCGTGAGAGACAGTGAGGGCGGGGCATGGGTGCTGCAGGCAAGTCAACGGTGGTCAAGGAGATCATGAGACGGTGAGGGGAATGAATGACTGCCGTGAGAGACAGGGTAATGGAGTGGGGTGTTGAGGGATGGAGTGGGGTGTACAAAGATACAGTGTTTGTGCTACCTATCATGGATTATTGTGATGCAATGGCTATGCGCCACATGCGGTGGTTGTTGTCGAGGCTGGTGTCTTCAAGGAAAAATATTCAATCTTCTCAGCGCTCTCCTTTGCTTCTTCTCTTCTCCTTCCGCCCCTCCCCTCTCCCCCTTCCCCCTCCCCCCCTCAGCACCTTTTGGGCGCGCATGGCGCCACATGCGGTGGTTGTCGAGGCCATCCGCACCCCCCTCAGCACCTTTTCCTTGGATGGTTGTCTTGAAGAAAAAGGGCGGAATCTTCCCAGAGCTCTCTCTTCTGCTTCACTCTTCTCCTTTCTCCTCCCACCGTCCTCCCTCTGTCCGCCCTTCCTCGCCTGCTCCCCCCCTCAGCACGTTTTGGGCGCGCATGGCGCCACACGCGGTGGTGGTTAATTGATTCCGACGCCTTCAAGGAAAAATACGCAATCTTCTCAGCGCTCTCCTTTGCTTCTTCGCTTCTCCTTCCGCCCCTCCCCTCTCCCCCACCCCCCCCCTCCCCCCTCAGCCCCTTTTGGGCGCGCATGGCGCCACACGCGGTGGTGGTTGATTCCGACGCGTTCAAAGAGAAGGACGCAATCTTCCGCGCGCTCTCCGCTGACCGGCTGAACGACGCCGCCCGGATCTCACAGCTCGTGCACGAGGAGTCGACCCGGGCGGCGCAGTCAACGCTGGTAACCGCGCTGAACAATGGGAGAGACGTGATATTCGACGGGACCAAGTCGTGGGCCCCGTTTGTGCAGCAGACGATTGCGATGGCTAGACAGGTGCATGAGAGACGGTTTCGCATGGGGCCGGGGTATCAAGTGAGAGAGGATGGGAGTGTGGTGGAGCGGTATTGGGAGGAGGTGGACGAGGAGGGGGAGAGTGATAGAGGAGTGGAGGAGGGGAGAGAGAGATGGGAGGAGGAGGGGAGGGCGATAGAGGGTGGAGAGGGGGTGGGGAGCGAGAGAGGGGATGGGGAGGAGGAGAGGAGGAGGGATAAGCCAGGAAAGGAGGGTCAGCACCGGCCGAAGCGGCACAACAGTCCGAGGAGGGTACTGGGATCGAGCAGGGGAAGCTATTGCAGCAGCGAGACGGGGCAGGGGAAGGGGGGCATGGAGGGGGCCCGGCAGGGAGGGGGGATGTGCTGGGAGAGGAGGGGGCAGAGGGGAGGCAGTGAGCAGCGGCTGCCGTATCGGATCGAGCTGGTGGGCGTGATGTGTGACGCGCACCTGGCTGTTGCTCGCGGCATGCGGTGAGGCGTGGGGTGGGCATGGGTTAAGGGATGTGAATGGGGCATGGGGGGTTGGTGGGCGTGATGTGTGACACTAGGGGCCGAAGCGTCTGCGGTAACTATCCCAAGCCTCTCCCCTCTGGGCCTTCCTCTCTGCCGTCCCAGGCGGGCCATCCGAACGACACGAGAGCAGCTTCGGTTGAACAAGCTGTCCCACCCACCCACTCCACCCATCCCCTGTCTTTCCTTTCCACGTCATGTTCCCCTCCCCTGAACCGTCCCTCCTTCCATCCCAGGCGAGCCATTTTGAGCAGGAGGGGAGTGCCGGTGCACAAGCAGCTGCAGTCGCACAGGCGGTTTGCCAGCAGCGTGGAGGCGTACTGTGACCTCGTTGACGTGGCTACTCTCTACTGCACCGACCACACGGGCGGGCCGCCACAGGTTAGTGGGAGTCAATGAGGGTCAATACGAGTCAATGAGGGTCAATACGAGTCAATGAGGGTCAATACGAGTCAATGATGGTCAATACGAGTCAATGAGGGTCAATACGAGTCAATGAGGGTCAATACGAGTCAATGAGGGTCAATACGAGTCAATGAGGGTCAATACGAGTCAATGAGGGTCAATACGAGTCAATGAGGGTCAATACGAGTCAATGAGGGTCAATACGAGTCAATGAGGGTCAATACGAGTCAATGAGGGTCAATACGAGTCAATGAGGGTCAATACGAGTCAATGAGGGTCAATACGAGTCAATGAGGGTCAATACGAGTCAATGAGGGTCAATACGAGTCAATGAGGGTCAATACGAGTCAATGAGGGTCAATACGAGTCAATGCCAGCTTATGCTGCTGCTGCTGCTGCTGCTGAGTGCATTCGTTTCTTACCAGCTTACATTACACACTCGCCTTCGCTCTAACCTTTCCACACTCCTCTCACTTACCGTTTCTATCTCCCTCCCTCACCATCTTCACCAGCTGATTGGCTACAAGGAAGGCACACCACCCCCCAGGAGCGCAACCACCTCACTCACAACCCCATCCGGCACAAACACACCTCCTATAAGAGCACCCGTTGCAATCACACCGCCTACAAGCACGCCCCCCATTACGGGCAGCATCTGCAGCGAGGGTGTGTGCAGGCACCTGCTTGTAGATTCAAAGACTTTTGAGACGTCTCAAAAATGCAGCCGCCTGCTTGTAGATCCAGAGGCCTTTCATTTAGTCTCTGACTTGAAACGCGTCAACCCCCGCGCCTCCTGTGTTCTAGAGCTGTATTTTAAGGAGGGGGAGGGCGAAACGGAGGGGGCAGGGAACGGGAAGGGGGGCGCTGGGGGCAGAAGAAACCTGTGGTGGCTGCCTGGATGGTGGTTGTCCCTGTGGGGCTGGGGAAGCTGGGCAGTGCGGGCAGGCGAGGAAAAGTTTGGGCCGGGGAGCACGTGGAGGGAGGTGGTACTGGCGGAGGAGCGGGCGGCGCGGCAGGCTCGACTGAGGAAGGCGTTTACTGAGTTTCAGACGTGCCTGTGGCCGGCAGCTCACAGCAACCGAGGCATCACCTCGTCTACCAGCTTCACCTCCCTGCACTCCCTCTCTCCCTCCCAGAAATGAATGTAAATGTTCTGGAATGGCAATCCTGGTAATTATATATATTTACCTTCTTTTTTTTTTAAAAATTTTCCTAGCAGTGAAATGAGCAGTCGGCACTGATGCAGCCCAGGCCTATAGTAGGGGCGCTCAAAATGACCGATAGTGCAACAGTGCTAAGTGCAGTGGCGCCCTTAGCCTCGCCTTGTACGCCGGCATCGGCATGCGCAGATCCCACAATTCCACACGCAGTACAGTACCGAATCCAGCACAAGGGCACCACCGATGAGCAACGACACTACTGCCTATGACATGAGGGATGCCTTTTGAATTGACTCAAAAGTCACCCGGTACTGTACAGTATCTACCTATGACAGGAGAGACGCTGCCTCGCCTTTGTCGCCTTGAGTGGATCCATCGTGCCTGAGGAGCATTAAGAGAAAAAAAAAAGAAACGAAGGAAAGGTGACAAATAAGGAGTTTTTGAGATGTCTCAAGAAGTCCCGTTTGTCACGTGGCTTGAGTGGATGGATCCATCATGACTGAGGAGCATTGAAAAAATAAGGAAGGAAAAGCAACAATTAAGGTAGCATAGAAGACAAAGGACGGGATGAGAGCGAAAAGTACGGAAAGAAAGAGGGGGTAAGTGGCCAACAGATACCGGTACGGTAGAAACCTGGAGCTTAAGCAACACCGCACAGGATTAGATAATTTGGTACGGAATAGATTGTTCATAACTCGAGCACGCAACCATGTACACTTTCACCTACCTAACCATCCATGCACCCATGCTGTTGAAAAGGCAAGGAGAGAAGGTAATGTGTGGTGTGACAGCATGTAACAAGGTGTGATAAGGTGTGACAAGGTGTGACAAGGTGTGGCAGGGGAATGGCAGAAAAGAGACGCACCAGATGGAGAGGCAGCCAGAGCTCCAAAGGAAGCAGAGGGAGGCGAGGGTGAGGAAGGAGAGGTGGCAAGGGGGTGTGAGCAGGTGTGACAAGGTGCGGGCAAGGAAGGCTATTAAGTTGACTCGGGAGAAGCTAACCGGAGGGAGAGGAGGGCAGGGCTCCAGAGGAAGCAGAGGGAGGCGAGGGCGAGGAAGGAGAGAAGGTGCCATGCTGCTGTGATGAGCCAATCGCTCTGCCACTGCAGGTTGAGGGGGTCTGATAGCTTCACATAGGCCTGGTGGTGGGGAGATGCGGGGGAAGGAGGTGCATAGGACAGGAAGAAGAGGAGAAAAGGAAGGCAAGTAAGGGAGATAAGGAAGGCAAGTAAGAGAGATAAGGAAGGCACGTAAGGGAGATAAGGAAGGCAAGTAAGGGAGATAAGGAAGGCAAGTAAGGGAGATAAGGAAGGCACGTAAGGGAGATAAGGAAGGCAAGTAAGGGAGATAAGGAAGGCACGTAAGGGAGATAAGGAAGGCAAGTAAGGGAGATAAGGAAGGCAAGTAAGGGAGATAAGGAAGGCAAGTAAGGGAGATAAGGAAGGCAAGTAAGGGAGATAAGGAAGGCAAGTAAGGGGGATAAGGAAGGCAAGTAAGGGAGATAAGGAAGGCAAGTAAGGGAGATAAGGAAGGCAAGTAAGGGAGATAAGGAAGGCAAGTAAGGGAGATAAGGAAGGCAAGTAAGGGAGATAAGGAAGGCAAGTAAGGGAGATAAGGAAGGCAAGTAAGGGAGATAAGGAAGGCAAGTAAGGGAGATAAGGAAGGCAAGTAAGGGAGACAAGGAAGGCAAGTAAGGGAGATAAGGAAGGCAAGTAAGGGAGATAAGGAAGGCAAGTAAGGGATATAGGGAAGGCAAGTAAAGGAGATAAGGAAGGCAAGTAAGGGAGATAAGGAAGGCAAGTAAGGGAGATAAGGAAGGCAAGTAAGGGAGATAGGGAAGGCAAGTAAGGGAGATAGGGAAGGCGGTGGATAGGGTGCAATGGTGCTGTGCCGGGGCAGTCGCACCATGCAAGGAGTGTCATGTGCCATTGTAGCGAGGTGACTTGTGAGTTGAGTCGACTCAAAAGTAGTCGCTACGGGAGAAAAGGAAGGACATGGATGGAATGCAATGGTGCTGTGCCAGGGCAGTCACACCATGCAAGGAACAGCATGGAATCCAATATACCTTTACAAGGGCCTCCCATGTGTATATTTTTGAGTCGAGTCAAATACAGTCGCACCATGCAAGGAGCACCGTGAAAGGAATTCAATATACCTTTTTAAGGACATCCCATGTGCAAAGAGGCGAATGGCAGTGCATGCATGTGGACGTACCTCCCAGCAGGTGAGGGCGAGAGCAGCAGCACTAATGCCCCCCATTGCTGACAGTGCCTGGCGGAAGGTGCTCAGCAGCCGACTGTCTGACGCCTGCATGCACTGCAGTGTGGCACCGCACAGCAACCCATCACAGAACACCACACCTCTCCAGACCCACCGGACCACACCATGCCACACTCAGCACCGCACCACATAGAAGCCACAGCACAGAAGAGACGAAGACAAGCAGAGGCTGGAAAGTAATAGGGTGAATGGCGCTCGCGAACGGGGCATTTTCCGTATTCCTAAAAAACGCCCTGGAAATGGGTGAATGGCGAACGAGAGTGATTGAAGAAATGTTTTGAGACGTCTCAAAACATTCCGTATTCCTGAAAAACGCCCTGGAAATGGGTGAATGGCGAACGACAGTGATTGAAGAAATGTTTTGAGACGTCTCAAAACATTCCGTATTCCTGAAAAACGCCCTGGAAATGGGTGAATGGCGAACAAGAGTGGTGCATGCCAATGCGAACTGTAACAAGTGATTGTCGTCAGCACGTAAGTAGCAGCAGCATGGCATGGCATGGGCCATGACTTTTGAGGCACCTCAAAAGTAAGTAGCAGCAGCATGACCCACGTCAATGTACCAATGTAGTTGACTTTTGAGGCGCCTCGCAAAACGTAAACAGTGTTTGACAATGCGAGCTGCTATAAGCGACCGTCCTCAGCAGCACGTAACTAGCAGCAGAATGGGCCACGTGCCAACACGCCAGTGGGCCAGGCAGCCAGACAGAGGCCGGCCCATGAGCATAAGGGGCGCCCGCAGAGCCACATGCTCATCACTGCCCCAATCGCCCACCTGCGCCAACTTCCTCACTGCCTCACACGCCCTGTTGTTCTGCCGTACTTGCACCCCCTCACCTTACGCCTTGGTAGTGAGAGCCACGCGCCTCAGTAGCACGCGCGGTCGGAATGAGCCACGCAGCAAGACAGAGGTCCATGAGCACAAGAGGCGCGCACAGAGCCACATGCTCACCTCACCGCACGCACAGTCACGACTCACACAAGTCCATCTTCCACCCACATTGACATGCCTCACCTGTGCCTCAGTAGCACGCGCGGTAGGGATGAGCCACGCAGCCAGACAGAGGTCCAGGAGCAGAAGGGGCGCGCACAGAGCCACATGCTCACCTCACCGCACGCACAGTCACGACTCACACGAGTCCATGTTCCACCCACATTGACACGCCTCACCTGTGCCTCAGTAGCACGCGCGGTAGGGATGAGCCATGCAGCCAGACAGAGGTCCAGGAGCAGAAGGGGCGCGCACAGAGCCACATGCTCACCTCACCGCACGCACAGTCACGACTCACACGAGTCCATGTTCCACCCACATTGACACGCCTCACCTGTGCCTCAGTAGCACGCGCGGTAGGGATGAGCCATGCAGCCAGACAGAGGTCCAGGAGCAGAAGGGGCGCGCACAGAGCCACATGCTCACCTCACCGCACGCACAGTCACGACTCACACGAGTCCATGTTCCACCCACATTGACACGCCTCACCTGTGCCTCAGTAGCACGCGCGGTAGGGATGAGCCATGCAGCCAGACAGAGGTCCAGGAGCAGAAGGGGCGCGCACAGAGCCACATGCTCACCTCACCACACGCACAGTCACGACTCACACGAGTCCATGTTCCACCCACATTGACACGCCTCACCTGTGCCTCAGTAGCACGCGCGGTAGGGATGAGCCATGCAGCCAGACAGAGGCCCAGGAGCAGAAGGGGCGCGCACAGAGCCACATGCTCACCTCACCGCACGCACAGTCACGACTCACACGAGTCCATGTTCCACCCACATTGACACGCCTCACCTGTGCCTCAGTAGCACGCGCGGTAGGGATGAGCCATGCAGCCAGACAGAGGTCCAGGAGCAGAAGGGGCGCGCACAGAGCCACATGCTCACCTCACCGCACGCACAGTCACAACTCACACGAGTCCATGTTCCACCCACATTGACACGCCTCACCTGTGCCTCAGTAGCACGCGCGGTAGGGATGAGCCATGCAGCCAGACAGAGGTCCAGGAGCAGAAGGGGCGCGCACAGAGCCACATGCTCACCTCACCGCACGCACAGTCACGACTCACACGAGTCCATGTTCCACCCACATTGACACGCCTCACCTGTGCCTCAGTAGCACGCGCGGTAGGGATGAGCCATGCAGCCAGACAGAGGTCCAGGAGCAGAAGGGGCGCGCACAGAGCCACATGCTCACCTCACCGCACGCACAGTCACGACTCACACGAGTCCATGTTCCACCCACATTGACACGCCTCACCTGTGCCTCAGTAGCACGCGCGGTAGGGATGAGCCATGCAGCCAGACAGAGGTCCAGGAGCAGAAGGGGCGCGCACAGAGCCACATGCTCACCTCACCACACGCACAGTCACGACTCACACGAGTCCATGTTCCACCCACATTGACACGCCTCACCTGTGCCTCAGTAGCACGCGCGGTAGGGATGAGCCATGCAGCCAGACAGAGGTCCAGGAGCAGAAGGGGCGCGCACAGAGCCACATGCTCACCTCACCGCACGCACAGTCACGACTCACACGAGTCCATGTTCCACCCACATTGACACGCCTCACCTGTGCCTCAGTAGCACGCGCGGTAGGGATGAGCCATGCAGCCAGACAGAGGTCCAGGAGCAGAAGGGGCGCGCACAGAGCCACATGCTCACCTCACCGCACGCACAGTCACGACTCACACGAGTCCATGTTCCACCCACATTGACACGCCTCACCTGTGCCTCAGTAGCACGCGCGGTAGGGATGAGCCAGGCAGCCAGACAGAGGTCCAGGAGCAGAAAGGGCGCGCAGAGAGCCACATGCTCACCGCTGCCCCAATCGTCACCTGCCCCACTGTCCTCACTGCCTCACACGCCTTGTTGTTTTGCTGTAATTTCATCCCCTCACCTGCGCCTTGGTGGTGAGAGCGGCCGGGATGAGCCAGGCAGCCAGACAGAGGTCCAGGAGCACGAGGGGGGAGCACAGAGCCACATGCTCACCGCTGCCCCAATCGTCCACCTGCCCCACTGTCCTCACTGCCTCGCATGTAGCCGCCACTAGCACGTACAGGGCTGCTGGTATGAGCGCCTGTGGGGAGGAGAGAGAGGGGGGAGTGATGTAAGAGGTGGAAGGAAATGCGTGACCAGTGTATGTTTTTTGAGAATTCTAAAAAAACAGTGATGTAAGAGATGGAAGGAAATGCGTGACCAGAGCATGCCTTATTTCATCACCTCGCCTGCCCCACACGAGGTGACATTTGAGTCGACTCAAAAGTCGCCTGGCCCACGCTGCACGCTACCCTCACTGCCTGCCACCCCCACCAGCACTCCCTGCAGCAGCAAACCCTGAAGAGCTGGGTAGACAGTGCAAGCAAGCACCGCTTTGCACCGCCTCTCACTCCATCCAACCCTCCTTGCCAGGAATCACCCCTACTTTCGGCAGCAGCGTGCCAACGCCCACCGCCACCCCCACCAGCAACCTCCAACGAGCACCACCACTGCGCACCGCATTGCACCCCATCCGACCCACCTTGCCAGGAATTACCCCTACTTTTGGCAGCGGCATGCCAACCCCCACCACCACCCACACCAGCACTCCTCTCACCTCAGCAGGAGCCCCTGAAGGACCCAGGCGTGCAAGTGGAGCCTTGCAGCACCCTCCTAGTGAGCATCGTTTTGTACCGCTTTGCAACAGCTTCCATACCATCAAACCCACCTTGCCAGGAATGACCCCTACTTTTGGCAGCAGCGTGCCAACCCCCACCGCCACCCCCACCAGCACTCCCCTCAGCAGCAGCCCCTGCAGGACCCCCACCGTCACTGCAGCGAGCGTGACTAAAACGAATCGGTGCCCCGTGGTGCAGAGGAGGAGGAGGTCGCAGAGGGTGGTGAGGGTGGAGAGGAGGGAGAGGAGGAGGAGGAAGGTGAGGAAGTGAGGGAGCGAGTTGCGGTCGAGGGAGTGCCAGGCTGGACCGAACTGGGGGCGCCAGGCGAGATAGAGGAAGGTGTAGAGCTGGGAGGGGGGGAGGGAGGGGAGGGGTGAATGGAATGGAGACACAAGGAAGGTGAGGAAGTGAGGGAGTGAGTTGCGGTCGAGAGAGTGCCAGGCTGGACCGAACTGGGGGCGCCAGGCGAGGTAGAGGAGAGTGTAGAGCTGGAGGGGAGGGGGCATGGGAAACGAGGGAGGCAGAGAAGGACGACATAAGAGGGGGGTGAGAGGGTGGAACAGGGGAAGAGTGTTGAAGGAGGCAAAGGAATGGGACGAGAGGGGGGCGTGAGGAAGGTGGGGAAGTGAGGGGGAGTTGACAACGAAAGAAAGACATTCACTTCAGATTTGCCGTGAAGGCACTTCAAATCCAACCAATTCACAGCAAAGAAAATAAGAGTTCAGACCAGTTCATGATTAACTTGATTCGACAACGGCGCACTCTCGTTTAAGACACCTCTGTGTGACTCTACTACTCACTCACCACTCACGTCTCCCTCTCACTCTCAAACTCACATTCACACTCACCACCAGCATGCTTGTTTGTATCGGAAGGTGTGCTGACAGCATGCCGGGCAAGTACCCCCACCCGTGCGCGCGCCACTCCGTGTGGCCAAACACCTTGGTGTTGTCCAGGTTCTTATCGCACATGGCCAGCCACACATACACAAAGCCGGCCCGTGGTACGTGCACCTCTGCATCCAGAGTTGCTGTGAGCGAGCTGTTGCCGATAAACTGGGCTTCCAGGACCTGCGGCCACTGGGGGAGAGGGCAGGGCAGAGCCGGGAGAAGGCAGGGAAGTGGGCAGGAAAAGAGGGTTTAAGGACTGGAGTCCAGATGGTGCAACCACGGAGGTTCTTGTCCCACATGGCTAGCCAGCCACACATACACAAAGCCCGGCTGTGGGATGTGCAGGTCTGCATCTAAAGGTGCTGTGAGTGAGCTGTTGCTGAGGAACTGAGCCTCCAGGACGCGGGGCCACTGGGCGGGTAGAGGGCAGAGAGGGGAGAGGGGGGGGGGAGGAAAGTAGCTACCTCTGAGGTTCTTATTACACATGGCCAGCCACACATACACAAAGCCGGGCCGCATAAGCCATGCCTCAGCGTCCGTGTGCATCCAGTGGTGCTGTGAGTGAGCTGTTGCCCGGGCCATATACTGAGCCTCCACCACGACCCGCAGCCACTGGGGAGAGGACAAAGAGAGAGAGAGAGAGAGAGAGAGAGAGAGAGAGAGAGAGAGAGAGAGAGAGAGAGAGAGAGAGAGAGAGAGAGAGAGAGAGAGAGAGAGAGAGAGAGAAGCAAGGACTTAGCCTCTTCCCTCCTAGCCTCTTCCCCTCTCTTCCCCAGCTATATAATGGCCTCCTGGCCTCTGGTTTAGCTCATTCTTCATTCGGTGTTCCAATTTTCCCGGCGCTTCGCGCCGGCGCTCGCGGGCGCGGCCTGCGGCCGCGCGTTCGGGACGACAAGATCAACAAGGATGACATATAGCAAGATGACAACACCGACGAACATGGCAGGCAACGACAACTAGGAGAGCAAACATGGAGCGGGTCTACTCACGCGCGAGAGGGGCGCCTACATGCGGTCGGCCTCAAGCTCACCAAGCGTTTCGCGCGTGGTCAACCACATCAGGCGGACCACTGACGCGGTGGCGCCGACAACGTCAACAGGAGTTCCGCGAGATCCAACAAGCGTCTTCAGATCCAGGGCCTTCTCGGCCAGCTGGGTGGCCGAGACTACTCCCGGCGAGGGCGCAACCTGCAGTGGCGATACGTACGAGAATAGCGCTGACGCCGCCGCATGACACCGTGCTCGTGGCATCTGAGAGAATGTGCTCGGTGGGGTCACCGCCATGGAGCCATGGGACTCCAGGAGTATCAGCTCAAGGCTCTGCAGGCTCTCCGCCAGCGACCACAAGCGCGCCAGGGTCACCGTGGGCACTTCCTTCATCGGCGGAAGGACAGCAGCGGCGCGCGTTCGGCGGGACGACACAGCGAGATCACGTGGAGGGGAGCGAGGACGCAGGGGTGCATACGCGGCCCAGGGATCCCCACCACCTGCGCCCACGAAGCCAGCCCCTGCTGGCAGCGGACGACCAGGACGCGCAAGGGAGCCCTCAGGGTTGTGCGGCAGGAGGGCAGCAAGAGGAACGACGGGGCCAGCCGGCGGCACGGAATGGGATGACGCCTCCGCGTTCGAGCGGTGGAGCGCTTTCTCCACGCCGTCCAACCTTCGGAGAACGCGCTCAAGCTCGGACGGCGCTTGACGCGCAGTTCCGCCGCGTCCATACCCTCCCCGCTGCCCACGACGCCCACGTCCACTTGCATTCGAGTGAGCGGGCGACTGCTGGCGAGATGGGACGCGTTGGCGCTGGCGAACAGGGGATCGGCCCCCGTGACGAGGAGAGTAGAGCCGCTGGCGCTTTGACGGCCGCGGCGAACGCGCAGATGGGGACCGCGGGCGAGACACGTGCGGAGCAGGCGATCGATAGTGTGTGGCTTGGCGACCGGGCGAACGGTGACGACGCGACCGGCGGTCCGGAGATCGGCTCCTCGATGCCGCGCGGCGCGGTGAACGTGGTGAGTGCGGTGATCGCGGCTTCCGAGGCGACCGAGGCTCGGCGTGACGCTCCGCACGGTGGCTCTCCTGCCCGTCACCGCGCGCCACTGTCGATCGGCGACGAGGCGAACGTTCCCGGCGCGCCTCAGCCTCTGCGTCGGAGCGCACGACGGACTCCGCACGCGCAGGCGCCGGCGCGGGCCGCTGATCTTCGAAACGGCGACGAATCTGATCGGCGGCAGCCATCGGAGCGACAGGGACGCTCGCGGCAGGACGTGCAGGAGGAAGCGGACGGGGAGCGAGATCGCTCACCGCGGAACACCCGCGCTCAGGAGCAGCCAGGAGATCCATCGGAGCAGAGGGATGATAGCGCTCGCCCATCGGGCGGCCGACGCGGCGGAGGTAGAGCTGCAGGCCGGGGAGGGCGAGCAGCTGGGCGTGGCGGGAGGGCTCGAGGAGGCGGTCCGGAGAACGTGTACCAGCAGGCGGGACGGAGGGCTTTAACTGAGATGAGCAACGATAATAATTCAACCACTTCAGACGGCAGCTTTGTAGCTGCAGAATCTACGGACTCGACCTCTAGCTCTGAGTCACTGGAAGACGAGCAGCAACAGACCCCTGCTCGAGCGAGCAGGCCAGCCGCAACTCACCTGCCGGGGGGAAACTCAGCAGTGAGATCCAACAGGAGGGGTCCCCCAACACCAACCCGTGCCGCATCGGGAAATTTCGCCACTCCACCAATCCCAACCCCGATTTCCAACATTCAGACCCCTACCCACACCGCCCCCCAACCTGCACCTGGCGGTAACCACGTCCCAACCCAACCCTTAGAGGAAAAATCCCCAGAAACTCTCGCCAAGGACGACACGCTATTCGCCAGCGTTGTAGCCTGGGATCTCACGAAACTACGCGACTCTCGCCACGCACCCCTTTCCCGCCACCTCCCTCCAGACCCACGCAAGCTTTTCGCCACAGCCTTGTTGGCGCCGCTGCTGCGCTTGGCGAAATATCCAGACTCTACCTCTGCTTGGACGGTCGTTCTATTCCTGGCGCGCTTAACACTTCGCCAGCTGTCCCCACGACGTCCAGATTGGAAGGCTGTCAGTGCCCGCCTTCGTCAGTTTCTGTCCGGGGAGTGGGATAAGCTATACAATGAGACAGTGGGCTCACTGACGTGGCCCCAACCACCTAGACACCAGCCCGATGACATTGGTGTCATCGCTAGGGCAGAGGGGTTGGCACGACGTGGCAGCCTACGACGAGCCGTGATGGCACTGGAAGCCATGCCAGTCAGCATTCCCTCCCCAACTGTGCTGGAGGCCCTGCGCGCCAAACACCCACCAGCGCCCGCCTCCCCACCTGACTGGACTTTTCCAGCACCTGACCCCCACCTATCAGCACCATTTGCAGTCTTCTCCAAGGTGCTGGGAAGCTGCGAGATGGGGGTAGGAGCGGGCCCCTCTGGAACCACGTTTGAACACTTACGCGATGCAGCGCTGATCAACCACTCCATTGGGAAGCACCTTCACGCACTAGTCAACACGATTCTCACGGGAAACCTACCTCCTGCAGTGGCCGAGCTCCTCACCGCCTCGAGATTAATTGCCCTGAGCAAGCCCGATGGGGGGACGCGGCCGATCGCCATCGGCGAAAGCATAACGCGCCTCGCGGCCAAGACGGCGCTTACCTTGACCGCAGGGGCCGCCCGTGAGTTCTTCCTACCGCACCAGTTCGGCGTGGCTGTCCCTGGTGGGGCGGAAGCGATTATCCACATCACACGCACTTACCTCACGGTGAACACAGGAGCTTTGGTCCTGCAGGCTGATCTGGCGAACGCATTTAACAGCGTCAACCGCGACGCCATCATCAAATCTCTTCGGGACTCCACCCTCGCCTCGCTCTTACCGTTAGTTAAACTGCTGTACGGCCTTCCCTCGGCTCTATGTCTGGATGCTGGCTTCTCACACCCACCTCTGCTGAGCGAGACCGGGGTGCGACAGGGAGATTCCCTCGGCCCGTTGTTGTTCGCTGCCGCCATACACCCTGCACTGACGAAAACAGCGCTCACCTTCCCCTCTGTCGTCTGTCTTGCCTATGCGGACGACGTAACTTTCCTTGGAGATGCAGCCACGTGTGCAGCAGCGTTTGAGGACTTCACAGGAAACCTTGGGGAGATTGGGCTGCGCCACAACCCCGCCAAATGCGCAGCCTGGTCCCAGGCAGGCCGACAGGGAGCTGCGCTACCAGTGGGCGTACCTTTCACTGAAGATGGGGTGAAGGTGCTTGGCAGTTTCATCGGTGGCAGTGACGCAACTGCCGCGTTCCTACGTGCCAGCCTCGACACCATGGGCGGGCCGTTGCCCTTAATAGCGCGGATGGAGCCACAGCTGGCTTCCCTTCTGCTCTCTCGGTGCATCTCACGAAGGATCGCTTACGTCGCCCGCACCACGCCGCTTTCAGCCCTGCCAGTCGAGGAGTGGTCAGACTGGGGTAAAAGGCTGTTTGAGACACTGCTCGATGCCTGCGGCATTCGCCACCCACGGGGGGAGGCCGAGATTTCACGTACCTGGGCGCAAGCGTCACTCCCCATCTCGCTCGGCGGTTTAGGTCTCACAGACCCCTCGGTGGAGGGACGTGTTGGGTTTCTCGCAAGCTACACGCAAGCGCAGCACCTGCTCACCTCCATTGATGAGTCGGCGGTCGGCGCCCTGGCGGAAACGCGGATCCAGATGGTGGGGCCCTTCATCAACACGTCCCCGCTCTTTGACTGGCTGGAGAGGTGTGAGGAGTCACTGCCGGATGATGGGAAGGAGCTGCTGCAGAGCGACCGAGTTGATCCCAAGGGCGTCAAGCTGCAGCACGGGCTGGCAATCGCGGTCCACGGACTGCGCTACGCGGAGCAGGTGCAGGCTACACGCATCATGCCTCTCAACCCAATGAGCGGGCACACTCAGCGCATGCTCTCACTCTCAGGGTATGGGGCAGGAGACTGGCTCAATGCAGTCCCCTTCAACTCGACACTACGGCTTGCCCCTGCTCACTTTGCGCATGCGCTGCAATTCCGGATGGGGCTACCCTCAGCTCCAGGCGCGTGTGACTGCCGCAAGGAGACGGCGATCCCGGAATCCGCGTCGGACGCGGCAGTCGCCGCGGACGAAGGGGTAGCGAGCGTGGATGGAGAGGCGGCGGTGCGCGGGGCACGAACAGACGCCGCACAGGAGCCAGCGGCTTCGCGAGAAATGCGGAGAGGCTGATACGACAGAGCGCAAGAGGCGGCGAGGAAGAACTTCGCGAGGAGACAGAGGAGGCTGCGGAGAATGAGGGAAGTGACGAGGGTGACCCCTTATTTAACCCTGAAAGAGAGGGGTTGTTAGGGGCAGAAGTCGAGGAGGATGAAGAGGAGTTGGATGGCCTACTCCAGGGAGAGGAGGTCCCCAGCCCACGTGCCCGAGGCGACCCTGCCAACCGAACCACATCCGAAGGTGGGAGGCAAAATCCAAACCCGGGCCGAGCCGCATCTGCAACTCCAACCCCCAGAAATCGGACCGCGAGACCAAACCGAACCGCCCCCAACATTGCGGTTACCACCGCCCCAGCCAGTAACACGGGCCCAACGCCTGCCACCCCCGCCCCAATCATCAGCGCTGACATCCTGGCAGGTCGTTAAGACCTTTTCGCTGACATCGCCAACTGGGACCTCGGCCCGCTGCGCGACAGCAGACAGCCACCCCTTGCCCGCCACCCACCTCGCCCACTTCGCGAATCCTTCGCCATCTGCCTGCTGACCCCACTTCTGCACCTCGCCAAAACCCCTGATTCCACATCTGGCTGGAAGCTGCTGATGTTTCTCCCGCGAATTCTCCTGCACTCGTCATCTGCACGAAAACCAGACTGGAAGGCAATGGGCGACAGACTGACGAGATTTCGCCAAGGGCAGTGGCGCGGCCTTTACGACGAGGCGGCAGAAGCAGTGAACAACAACCCCCAACCACGCCACGTACCTGACACCACGGGAAAGCTGGCGAGAGCCGAGGGATTGGCGAAAAGGGGAAACCTAGCGAAGTCCCTCCAGTCGCTAACTGCCACGCCCGTCTGCTCGCCAACCCCTGACGTTTTGAGTGCGCTCACGGCCAGGCACCCAAGGGCCACCGCGGCTATCCCAGACTGGGTGCAAGACTTTGCCCCTGAGACTCTGCCCTCAATCACAGCTCGCGATTTCAGGAAGCTGCTTGCCCGGTGCCCCAACGGCGTAGGGGCTGGGCCATCAGGGACTACCTTCGAGCACCTGAGGGATGCGGCCCTTGGGAACGCCGACGTCCTCTTGCAACTGCACGCGCTTACCAACACGGCGCTAGCGGGTAAACTGAACGCCGAGGCTGCAGATCTACTCACCGCTTCGCGTCTGCTCGCCTTCACTAAACCCCAAGGCGGAACTAGGCCAATAGCCGTGGGTGAAGTGGCCGCTCCTGCAGCGCGCGACCACTTCACCCCGCTACAATTCGGTGTGGCGATCGCGGGGGGCATCGAGGCAGCGATACACGCGGCCCGCACCTACCTGGAGGAGTTCCCTGGAGCAACGGCCCTCCAGATTGACCTGGCAAACGCTTTCAATGCCGTGGAGCGCGCGGCGGTGTTTGAAGGACTAAAAGGCACGAAGCTTGACACCCTGGTCCCCCTCATCCGCCTCTCATACAGCCGCCCATCAGCCCTCTACCTCGACCACGATTTCGAGGCGGCGCCTCTACAGAGCGCGCGAGGCGTGCGCCAGGGTGACCCACTAGGTCCTATGCTGTTCGCGGCCAGCATCCATCCCTGTCTCGCTGCAACGGCGACGGCCCACCCAGAGGTGGTGCTCCTCGCGTACGCAGATGACATCACCCTGCTAGGCGAGACTGCGAGCTGCACGGCGGCCTTCAATCACCTCACGAAAGCCCTTCTCAGCCACGGCCTGTCCCACAACCCCGTGAAATGCGAAGCATGGTCCGCCACAGCCCTGGAGCCCGCCGCTCTACCCCACGGCGTCACTATCTCCCGGGACGGGATCCGCGTCTTGGGCAGCCCGATTGGGCCCCCCGCCGGCTGCGCTGCCCGAGTGCGGGAACGCCTTACTGCTGCTGCTGAACCGCTCCCGCTCCTCTCCCAGATGGACCCGCAACTCTGCCTGCTCCTACTTACCCGCTGCGTGAGCCGCCGCGCTTCATTCATGGTCAGAACCACGCCGCTTGAAGCCCTACCGCTGAGGGAATGGTCCGCCTGGGGGGAAGAACTGTTCCATACCTACCTTGCCGCAGCACACACAGAAATCCCCAGAGCCCGGGTCGAGAGGGAGAGGATTTGGCACCAGGCCGCCCTGCCCGCGTCCCTGGGAGGCCTGGGCATCACCAACCCTGCAGTGGAGGGGGGATATGCTTACCTGGCTGCAGTCACTGCTGCTGCACACCTGCTGCGCTCCTTCGGCGACGCGGCAAACCCTGCTCTCACTGGACTCCTGCCGCTAATGGACTCCAACGAGGAATCTACGTCCCTCCTCCCAAGGCGCCTTGCCGCTCTGGAAGCCGAGCTGCCTCCTGAGGGTATCGAGGCTCTCCAAGTGGGGAGACAGAGACCGGACGGGCCAAAGCTCCAACAGTCGCTCTCCCTCGCGGTTCAAACTGCAAGGTTCATGCAACTGCTCGAGAGCTCGCGGGAGATGGAGCTCAACCCACTGTTCGGACACACGCAGCGGCTGCAGTCCCTCTTGGGCCCCGGCGCAGGGGACTGGCTGCTCGCCGTCCCGCTGATCTCCTCCCTCCGCCTCGGGCCCTCTCAGTTCTCCACAGCGGCCTCCTTCCGCCTAGGCCTGCCCCTACCTGTGCCAAGGCGCTGTGACTGCAGATACCGCACCACATTCCCCGACGACCGCCTACCGAACCATCTGATGCGGTGCGAGAAAGGGGGGGGGAGAATTGCAACTCACAATGCCCTTCGGGACGAGTGCGCAAAGATAGCTGCGGAAGCGGGCTTCACCGTGCATAAGGAGACAACGGCTTACTCACCGGTCGAAAACCTCAAAGCGGATATCTCTATCCGCCATCCCGACACCGGTGAGGTGTGGATCTGTGACATCACGGTCACGGACCCCATCTCCCTCCAGGATGAATACGCCCGTAAAGCTCCCGGTTGGGCTGCTAGAATGCAGGCGGACAAGAAGGCAAGCAAATACGCCAGGCGGAGCGCTTGGGTGGGCTTTTACGCCTTGGCGGTTGAGACCTACGGTTACCCCTCGAGGGGAGTCCTGGAATTCCTTCGCAGCTGCGCGGAGTTAGCGGCCAGGCGGCGGTTCAACGCCACTCCCAAGTCGAGGGAATGCGCCAGGCTACTCACCGAGTACCGGCAGCGGTGGAGTGTGACCCTGCAGAGAGCGCAAGCCACTGCCCTCAGGGATAAGACCCATGAGGCCCTCACAGCGGATGTGCTCGGCCTGCAGGGCCCGTTTACTCCAATGAGCGAGGGGCAGCTGTATCAGTTGATAGAAGACCCCTCCGGCCATTAGGGCCGGGCGGGGAGGGGGGGGCTGGGGCTGGGGTAGTGCGGGGTTAGCTGTTGTTTTTGCTGTAGCCTTGCTGCGAGATTGCTGTAGCCTTACCATGCGTGTACCTTGCTGACATTAATACCAAGGACCGTTCGAGAGAGAGAGAGAGAGGGGGCTAATATTCTGAAAACTGACAACACACGAAATAATGAGGAGGGGCAGGGTTAGTGTCTATGATGCATGTTCCAGGTGCCTTATCCTCCCGTGCATGTCTGTACTTTTCTGGTTGCTAATACATGGACCACTGGAGAGGGAAGCGGAGAAAAGGGGAAATCGAGGGGGCTGTTGCCACGGAACTTGGCTTCCAGGACGCGAGGCCACTGGTGAAATTTATTGGATTCGAAACGCAGCAAGCCTGCTAAGAGTAGCGATCTGTAGTACTGAGTCTACTAATCTGAAAATCGAGGGAAGTAGTGAGAAAAGGTCTACTAATCAGAAAGCCAGACACATTAGGCCTGGATGTCGCGTGTGAACGCGTTTCGGCCAGCAAAGGCCTTCATCAGCACACGGAACTTGGCTTCCAGGACGCGAGGTCACTGGGGCGGGAAGAAGGGACAGAGCGGCCAGGGGGGAAAGCAGGGAGAGAAGAGGAGCTGTGAGTGAGCTGTTGCCGAGGAATTGATATTCCAGGACGCACGGCCACTGAGAGGCGATGGGGTAGGGGAGGGAGAGGGGCCGCACATGGTAACAGATGCACGTGCGCGTCTGTGTGCAGAGGGATTGTGAGTGAGCTGTTGCCGAGCAAGTGAGCCCAACTGAGCCCAACTGAGCCCAACTGAGCCTCTGAAAAGGAACGGGGCAGGTAGGGGAGAAAAAGGGCATGGGATGGAGAGGAGGAAACTGTTGAGAGACTACACACTCCGTGGGGCTGCTTGCTTGCAAGCGGTTGCTGATAAATGAAGCTTCCAGGACTCGGATTGTGCGCAGCGCAGCTCCTCTCGTTATGAGCTTGCCCCCATCCATGGTGCACCCGGTGAGGTGAGGTGCGTGGCACACCGCACCAGTCTAGCCTATCACTCTGCTCGCAGGTGACTTTTGAGTCGACTCAAAAGTCACCGCACCAGTCCAGCCTATCACTCTGCTCGCATGCTCGCATGCATGCATCAATGCACGCACACTCACATCCGGCTCGTGCGCTGCTCGCCTCACTATCAGGCGGCCCACGGTGCAGCCAGTGAGAGGCTCGAGCTCCTTGGTGCAGCAGAAGAAGAGCGGCCCACTGCCCTCCTCATTGCCCTCCACCCCACTGTCTGTATGGGCAAAGGGGGCTGGCATGGCATGACATGGGGTGAGGGAGAGCGGGTGGAGGATTAGGCTTTTAAGACGTCTCAGAACTCCTTGGTACAGCAGAAGAAGAGCGGCCCGCTGCCCTCCTCCACCCTGCTGTCTGCATGGGCGAACGGGACTGGCGATGGTATGGGGCAGAGGTAGGGGGGGGCGGGAGGAAGGAGCGGGGGAAGAGGACACAAAAGAACGGTGTTGTTCTGATAAACCTAACAGAGTGAGCCACTTTTTTCCGGAAATGTAGGGAACACACAGAAGTGCCGTTTCTGGAGAATAAAAGCAGAATTCATTCATTCGTAAAAAATAATTGTTTGCTATTAGGTCATAAGATACGGCACAACATGTAAACAAAGGTGTCTTGCACCTTCGGGTGCGGGAACACATGAAGCTTTTTGAAAAAGCAGTGACAAGCATGGGAGGGGAGGGAGCAGAGGACAGTGAAAGCTCATCAATCTTTGTGTGAGTTCGTGCACGCGCATGTGCGAGTGCCTTCCCCCATGCACCCACATTACCAAGCAACCACACCCACCCACTCACTCGTGTCTGTGCTGCTGCTGTTGCGCCAGCGGTACCCTATCATGTGCCGCACGCGCATGTCAAACACCACCACCTCCACCATGCCTGTCACTCCCTCTAGTGGCTGTAGCTCCGCCTCCCATGATGGGCGCTGCAAGTGCAATCCATTCAGGCTGGTATTGAGGGGGGTTATGGGTGGGTGGGTGCATTAAACACCACCACCTCCACCACCTTCACTCCCTCTAGTGGCTGTAGCTCCGCCTCCCAGGAAGGGCGCTGTAAGTGCAGTCCATCAAGGCTGGCAAAAAGGGAGGCACGGGTCGTTGTGTGCGTGGGTGCGTGGGTGCGTGTGTGGGTGTGTGCGTGGGTGAGTGGGTGTATCAAGCGCGCATGTCAAACACCACCACCTCCACCACGCCCTTCACTCCCTCCAGTGGCTGCAGCTCCGCCTCCAATGATGGCCACTGCAGGTGTAATCCGCGCAGGCTGGCAGTAAAAAGGGAGAGAAAGGGGTGGACGGGTGCGTGGGTGGTGCATGGTTGGTTTGGGAGGAGAGGGTCACGGTGACACTCTGAGCCATCCAACGGCTGTGGCTCCGCCGCCCATGATGGCCGCTGCAGGTGTAATCCGTGTAGGCTGGCAGGAGGGGGCGGGTGAGAGAGTGGGTGGGTGGGGGGAGGAGAGAATCAGGGAAACATCTTGAGCTATCCAACGGCTGTACCTCCGCCTCCATCTCTGCAGGTGCAACCCGTGCAGGTGCAACCCGTGCAGGCTGGCAGGAATGGGGCAGGATGAAGGAATGGATGAATGGATGAATGGATGGGTGGATGGGTGGGTGGGTGGGTGGATGCGTGGGTGGATGGGTGGGTGGATGGCTGGGTGGGTGGATGGGTGGGTAGGCGGAAGGGCCTGTCACACCCTCCATGCAGCTATGGGCTGGGGGGACGGGGGACGGCGGATGGGTGTGTGGATGGGAGGAGGGGTAGATGAGAGGGTGAATGGGTGGGCGGTGGGCCTGTCACACCCTCCATGCAGCTATGGGCTGGGGGGACGGGAGACGGCGGATGGGTGTGTGGATGGGAGGAGGGGTAGATGAGAGGGTGAATGGGTGGGCGGTGGGCCTGTCACACCCTCCATGCAGCTATGGGCTGGGGGGACGGGAGACGGCGGATGGGTGTGTGGATGGGAGGAGGGGTAGATGAGAGGGTGAATGGGTGGGCGGTGGGGCCTGTCACACCCTCCATGCAGCTATGGGCTGGGGGGACGGGAGACGGCGGATGGGTGTGTGGATGGGAAGAGGGGTAGATGAGAGGGTGAATGGGTGGGCGGTGGGGCCTGTCACACCCTCCATGCAGCTATGGGCTGGGGAAACGGGAGACGGCGCGCGCGGGGTGGCTTTTGAGTCGACTCAAAAGTAACCTCGTGGGTGGGGTTGGGTGGACGGGTGGGTGGGCGGTGGGGCCTGTCACACCCGCTCCATGTATCTATGGGCTGGGGGGACGGGAGAGACGGGGTGCGCGGGAGGCGAGGACGAGGAGACAGCATGCGTGGAGGGGGAACGACGGGAGGGGGATGGAATGCTGCACGCGGCACGCCTCGCACGCGCATCCCCTCCCTCCCCCGCCCCCCCCGCACGCGCGGAGACGAGGGAGAAGAGACAGATGCGAGGAAGCGAGGGAGAGGAGAAATCTGCTCAGCCTGAGAAGAGGCGGGTGGGTGGCTAAGGGGGTTGAGCGAACGCACCGGATGTAACCAGATCCCGGCGAAGTCGCGAACATGCCTTCGCGGCCGGCGCGGTACAGTAGCAGGTCGGCGGAATAATAGGCGCGCTGACCCGAGTACGTGTGGATCGCGGCTCGAGCGCAGGAGATTAACGTCAGGAGGAGGAGGAGGAGCAGCCATGGGAGGGGTACGGCAGGTACGTGTATGCGCGACCGTGCGTCAAAGCGCATTCGGCGGTTTCTAATGCGCGCGGTGCCACAATGCTCATGAGTTGATTCACAAGAGGCGTTGCTCGCGGTTAGAGTCGGTTCGGGAGACATTGTTGAGTCTTATCTTCACCTCACTTCTCTGGAACGCCTACGCGTCTGGCAAGTCATAGGACAAGAGCCGAGAAGTGATCGAGGTTTCGTCGCTTTTGAGGTTTCCTTGAATTTGAGCTATATTTTTATAAAACATGCTACATTGCATGACCATTGGCAGCAAAAACAATGTAAAATATAAGCAGGCATCACACTCAATACAAAAAAAAAAAAAAAAAAAAAAAAAAAAAAAAAAAAAAAACCCTACTCATGTCTCCATGAGTGAAATCCATTGCCACACATGGGCACTACAATGCTACCGTCAGCCCCCGGATAGAAGCGCCCCTGGGGTTATAAAAAAACACTGTTTTTTAGGGGGTGGGCTGATAATTGAGGATTTTTATAAGCGCCGGGGCTTATAAAATGACATATATGAAATCTATTTTTTTTACACCAAAGTGTTTATCTCGTCCTTGCGATTTGAATCGAATCGAGATTGTAGGGGGCTGGAATGTGAATCTCGCGTAAATTGGCAGTGGCTGATTCTCTGCCAGCACGCACAGTCAGAATGAGTCAGATTAACCCCATGACAGGTCATTCTGACTGGACGCGAAGGCATTGAGTCGCGCGATGGTGAAGGGATTCGAATTTCTGAATGTTGGGATGCAAAAATTGTGTTTCGTTACAGCGTTTCCAGTAAAAATATTAAATATAATTCAGAGGGTGGCGCTTATAATCCGTAAGCCTTTAGGGGTGCGCTTATAATCGAGGACCGGATATAAGCGCCCTCATCCTTTTATAAGCGCCGGCGCTTATCCGAGGCCTGAGCTTCTATCCGGGGGCTTACGGTAGTGCATTATTAGTCACTCCAGCTCTAATTGTGCTTTCACTCTGCACAAACCGCATCTTCTGCCTCAACAGCTACAAACCCCGCATGTATGAGCGCTGCAAGCAACTCATGCGCCACGATCGGCTTGCGCACGGCTCCATCCATCCCCGCCTCAAAGCACGCTCGCTTCACCCCTGTTGGGCTGAGATGCCCTAGGATCTTTGTAGAGTTAAAGTCTGAGTAGGATTGTAATAGCGGAAGCGTTTGAATGAAAAGTCCTTGAACCACCTTGCGCTAGTATGTGAGGGCAAAGTAAGTTGATTAAAACAAGCAAATACAAGGCTTTATATAAAAGTACAAGGAATACGAATAGATATAATTAAACTGTTTTGCTGTTGCGATTCGATACAATGCGACTCGGGCAACTGCTCAATGTCGAGTCAGTTGTGTGTCCTTGCTGTCGCGCTGTATTTTGTCAAGTCAAAGGTCGCTGACTTTTGACCTTCGCGTAACCTCCAGGCGGTTACCCTAACCTCCGAGGGTTGACTCGCGATGCTTCGATTTGGACTGCTTCGCTTGTGTCCTGAGTTTCGACACGACAGAGGCGCTTTAAGACTTATTGTTCCCAACACTCCCCTTCGCTTCTGGAGTGTCGCTAATGGTGACGTGGCCTTGTCCAGTCAGCAGCATGCAGTACTCGAACTTCTGTTTTCCGAGTTTCTTGGTCAAGTAATCGGCTGCCATCTCGGACGTGGGACAGTAGGATAATTCGAGTTTCCCTTTCTCGATCTCGTCTTTCACGAAGAAGTATCGCAGAGCGATATGCTTCGTTCTGTTCGCGAATCCGCTTTTGTTGGCGATGCGAATTGCAGATTGGTTGTCGCAGAATAGGGTGAAGTTGGGTAACTCGGCTAACTTTGCTTCTTCCAGCAGCTCGCGAAGGTAGAGTCCTTCCTTGGTGGCTGAGCAGAGGGCGATATATTCTGCTTCAGCTGAAGAGAGAGCGATTAGTTCCTGCTTGCTCGACTGCCAGGAGATAGGTCCGATAGGCTCGAGACGATAGACGTAGCCAGTGCGAGAGCGCCTATTGTCGGAATCGCCGGCATGATCGGCATCGACGTAGCCGATTAGTTTCGTGGTCGTAGTTTCGTTTTTGTAGTAAGTCAGGCCGATCGTCGGAGTGTTCACGAAGTAGTGTAGTGCGCGATCGAGCTCCGCCAGGTGCTCTGCTTCGGGTTTCTTGAGGTAGGTAGCGAGTTGGCTTACGGAGTAGGATAGATCCGGGCGGCAGGTGACGGCTGCGAAGAGGAGGCAGCCCAGTTTCCTCTGGTAGTCTCGTATTCCGGCAGCTTTGAGTGGAGCGGAATTTCCTTTGTTACTTCCTGCCGTGTAGCGGTATGGCGTGGTGATAGCGGTAGGTGTGAGCGAGAAGCGCTTGGCGATAGTGTCGGCGTATTTCTCGGCGCTTAAGTAGATAGCATTTTCTTCTTCGCGTATGTTGAGCCCGAGGTACTGGGTGACGGTAGAAGAAACCGTGAGCGTGAGGTCCTTCTGCAGCTCCCCTTCGAACCAGGTGGTGATGTCGTCGGTGGAGCCGATGTAGAGTAGGTCGTCGACGTAGACGATCAGTAGGATGTAATCGGCGTCTTTAGTGAATCGATACATTCCTTGGTCGTGCGGCAGTTGGCGGAATCCGATGCGAGTGAGTCGGGTGTGTAGGTGCTGTTGCCACAGCCGCGGGGCTTGTTTGATTCCGTAGAGCGATTTCAGTAGCTGGCAGACCTGATTGGGGTTTCCGTGGGTACCGTGGGGGAGTTCGACGAAGATTTCGGCATCGACGGGTGCGTAGAGAAATGCGTTGGCGACATCGATTTGTCGCGGTTTTTTCTTCTTCATGGCGGCAACGGCGAGAAGAATTCGAAGAGAGGTATGTCGACTAACTGGGGCGAATGTCTCGGTGAAGTCTCGTCCTTGATCTTGGTCGAATCCACGCACGACCAGCGTGCTTTGAACTTCTCGATTGTGCCGTCTGCTTTCGTTTTGATGCGGAAGACCCATTTCCCGGTGAGAATGGTCTTGTTCCTTGCCACGCTTGCGGGAACGACCTTCCAAGTGCTGCATTCCTCCAGTGCCTTTAACTCTCTGTCCATGGCTTCGCGCCATTTCTCCCTGTGTTCCCCCCCCTAGAGCCTGCTGAACCGTCGCAGGCTCCTTAGGAAGTGCGTTGCCGTGGACTGCGGTGACGAGGCCGAGGATTTGCAGTCCAGTCTGTGAGTATCGGGGGAGTGTTGGATCCTCGGGATAAGCTGCTTCGTCTCCCGCTTCTGGATCGGGTATGAAATTTGGCCCTATCCGTTCTGCTTCGTTTGTGCTGACTGTCGCAGGTGTTACGTAACCGTTGTCGGCGAAGTGATAGAAGACTTCGGCGTTGACACTGTCGCGAGGATTGTCTTCGTCCATGGGCACGTCGACGGAGCAGTACGGTAGAGGTCCGGTTTCTTCCGATGCGTTGTCGACGTTCTGTTCATCCCAGTCTGCTTCGTCCGCTGCTGAGGCGAAGGCTCGGTCACCACGAAAACCACCTGTGGGGTCCTGATTCTCGTGCAAGTTGGCGAGGTACGTTTGAAGGGTGAGTCGCTCGTAGAAGATCACATCACGTGCTGCTACTATTTCCTTTGAGTGGACATCGAAAATTTTCCACGCGTTGTAATTTTTCTCGATGCCGAGGTGTAGTCCCCACTGTGCCCGTTGTGAAAATCTTCCCGCTCGTGCTTCTGGGGGTCGGTACTGCACCATGCATCCGAAAACTCGTAACATTCTTGTGCTGCCCTGCTTTCCTGTCCACAGCAGATGCGGTGATGCGTTGTTCGGGAGTGACGACGATGACAGCAAGTTGTGCAGCATGACAGCATGGTCCATTGCTGCAGGCCACTGGTGGTTGGGTAGCCGCATGCCACGTAGCAGTTTGCGCATGCTGTTCTGCAGAGTCCTGTTCATTCTTTCTGCAACACCTTGCTGCTGATGGGCGTAGGGAAGGGAGAGGAGTTGCTTGATTCCCCTTTCCACCAGGTACTGCTTGAAGCGCTGAGAGGTGTATTCTCCTCCTCCGTCTGACTGGAAGCTTTTCAGCTGTGTTCCTGACTCCCTCTCTGCTACCGGTAGCCAAGCGGCGAACGCTGCGAGTGCCATGTCGCGGCTGGGTAGGTTTCGATGCCAGACGTATCGAGTGGCGGCGTCGATGAAGGTTATCGTGTAATTGTAGGTGACTTGTCCTGGTTCTCGATTGAAGAGGATGTCGCTGTATACTTTCTCGAGTGGTGCGTATGCAGGTGCGCTCGGGTTGTGGTGAGAAGAAAACGGTCGATGGGGTAAGTCGGCTTCGGGGCAGATGAGGCAAGTTCCTCGTGCCCGTTGAAGTTCTCTGCCGTCGGGTAGTAGTAGCGAATCTTTGTCGAGGACTCCTGCTCGTATTGTGTTATTTAATACTGTGTTGCTTGGATGTCCTGTGCGTGCGTGCCAGATGTCTTCAGGAGCGCGATGTCCGGGTGAGCGTTGATACGCGTCGGAGTTGGAGTAGAAGCTGGCGACGACATTGGCGCTTCTGTGGACTTCTCGTTGAGTCGGGTTCAGTTGCTGTGCAGGTGTTGGTGGTGCTTCGTGGACGATGACTGGTGTCGTTGGTCCTGCTGCTGCCGATGATGTTTCTGCTGCTGTCGATGTTGTCTCTGCTGCTGCCGATGTTGTCTCTGCTGCTGCCGATGTTGTCTCTGCTGCTGTCGATGTTGTCTCTACTACTGCCGTTTGTTGAATTGTTGCTAACGCTCGTGTTCGTTCTGCTTCAGGGATGGTGTGTGAGTACCGGAAACCTCCCGGGCTGAAGTCGGGATTGAGATCCGGGGGATGTGTCCAATCGGCGAAGTTGACGATGGCGTCGCTATCTGCAGTGCCAAGGTCGGGGACGAAATCGAGGACGAAGACGTTGTTCTTCAAAACTGCTCTTCCGATGTAGAGGCCGCCCTTCCCGTGGTACAGTTTAAACTCCTGGGTGGTGCTGTCGGCTTCCAAGTGGATGCCTTTCGCCATCAGCTGGCTGACACTCAGTAAGTTATAACCGAGTCCTTCTGCGATGAGTACCTTTGACATGTGCAGTATGACGTTTGTCTCTCTTGATTGAAGCTGAACTACTCCTTGTCGTCGTGTGCGCAGGTTCTGGTTGTTGGCGACCGTGATGACTACTTCTCGCTGGAGTCGATGTTCGCGTTGAACGAAGCGTCCGGAGGAGCACATATGTTGTCCGCAGCAACTGTCCAAGAACCAGGTGTCTTGCCCGGACGGTTCGCTTTGAGCGATGGCGGCGTACGTCGGATTCGGTTGGAGTGACTTGTCAGAGGTCCACTGGTGATCCCCGATTGATCCTAGGGAAGGGTTACAGGCATGTTGGCCTGGGGGGTTATGGGCGCACTGACCCGCTACTGAAACAAGCCCTTTTATCCCAATGGTCTAGTGGTTGGGATTCTGACATGGTATCAGAGCGAAGGTCTCGGGTTCGAATCCCAGTGTGTGCACTTCGGGCATCCCAGTGCGGGGGGGTGTCAGAGGTCCACTGGTGATCCCCGATTGATCCTAGGGAAGGGTTACAGGCATGTTGGCCTGGGGGGTTATGGGCGCACTGACCCGCTACTGAAACAAGCCCTTTTATCCCAATGGTCTAGTGGTTGGGATTCTGACATGACTCGCGGCGAGGCGTCCTGTTGTCGAGCTCTTCTTCCGGTGAGTAGTGAGGTGGTGATTAGGTTGTGCACGAATCAGTTATCTTCACCATGCAATTGATAATGTTTCTTGCTCCTTGTGCAGATTGTCCTGTTGGAGTCGTTGAAGCTTGGATTGAGGTCGTCGGATTTGCTTGTGTTGAGGCAACTTGGGAGCTTGAAGGCCGGAGTTGTCACTGTGGTGTTGTCTGACGAGACTGGCAGTGCGTGCGAGGGTGTCCCGAAGTCTTGCAGATGTGGCAAAACGGAGGTACCGTCTTCACTTGTTGCTGTTGTCGATTGTTGTTGTTGTTGTATCGTCGCTGAGTGTGAAATGCAAACTCCGGTGCTAATGTTTTCTTCTTGTGTCTTTCTTCTTGCAGGTCCATATCCTGCTGCTCGGCATGAATTTCGGCGCAGAGTGCCGCTTCGGAAATCCTCCCGTGTGCTCGTAATATGGCGCGAGTGGAGCGCCAGTGGGGGCCGAGACCGCCGATGACCACCGTGACAAAGGCGTCTTCTGAAATCGACCCTCCGCATCGAAGAAGCTTGTCGCGCAGTTCGCGGCAGCGGCTGATATAAGCCATGCCTTTCTCGCCTGGTTTCATTTCAATTGTTGTCAACTGCGCCATTAACCTGCTTTGATTTACTCTGTCTGTTGCTTGATACAGGTTCTTCAGGTGGTTGTACGCGAGCTCCGCGGAGTTGCCGTAGCCTCGGTAAGTCCTGATGTTCTGCTGCTGGGTCGGGGTGATGTTTCTTAGCAGTATCGTGTACGCCATCATTGATTGATAGGTGTACTGCTGCTTCTCATATTGTGTCCCGTTTGTTGGATATGGCAGGGACCCGTCGAAGAAGCCGAGAATCTGTGCTCCTTCCATCATCAGTTCGAACTCGAACGACCAGGTGAAGAAGTCTTTTCCGTCGAAGGGCTTTGTCGTTTGCAGCTTGAGAACATGCGCGAATTGCGATTGAACTTGTAATGCGTCCAATGCCCTTTCTTGTCCCGGTGCAGATTGCGGTTGCGGCATGAAGCTGACGGAGCCACGCTGGGGCTCGTACGGCGCAAAGGTAGGCTGCTGTTGTTGTTGTTGAATTCCGCGTGCATAGGATGAGCCGTCGAGACTCATAGGAGTTACGTTGTTGTTGTTGCTGTTGTTTGACTGCGCAGGTACTCCTTGCTGGTGCTGCTCGTAGAAGGACATGAAGGAGAAGAATTTCTCCATCATGCTTGGATCGAAGCCTGCGGGCGTTTTCGTAGACCCAGCTGCTGGTCTCGTGGTAGTCCCTTCTTCCGTCTGTAGACCAGAGACAGGAGGTGGAGTAGGGGTAGTGCCTGGAGAACCGTTGGAGGAGCTCCTCTCCTTCCTAGTAGACATGTCTTCCTTGTATTAAGTATTAAGAGAAAAAGTAACTTTGAACTCTATCTGCTCTCATACCATGTTGGGCTGAGATGCCCTAGGATCTTTGTAGAGTTAAAGTCTGAGTAGGATTGTAATAGCGGAAGCGTTTGAATGAAAAGTCCTTGAACCACCTTGCGCTAGTATGTGAGGGCAAAGTAAGTTGATTAAAACAAGCAAATACAAGGCTTTATATAAGAGTACAAGGAATACGAATAGATATAATTAAACTGTTTTGCTGTTGCGATTCGATACAGTGCGACTCGGGCAACTGCTCAATGTCGAGTCAGTTGTGTGTCCTTGCTGTCGCGCTGTATTTTGTCAAGTCAAAGGTCGCTGACTTTTGACCTTCGCGTAACCTCCAGGCGGTTACCCTAACCTCCGAGGGTTGATTCGCGATGCTTCGATTTGGACTGCTTCGCTTGTGCCCTGAGTTTCGACACGACAGAGGCGCTTTAAGACTTATTGTTCCCAACAACCCCAACATCCAGATTTGCCGTCAATGCTATAATGCACAGCCGTTGAGGAGAGGCTCCTCTTGAACCCGCCATTTCCTGCACTTCTTTCACTGCCTCATCTGCTGCTGTTGACTCCTGAGACGTTTGGAAAGTGAATTCGTCGGCTGAACTGCTGGCTGCTGTTGAGTCATGATGTGTCTGGAAAGCAAATTCGTTGGCTGTCTCGTCAGCTGCTCTCACCCTTGGAGATGTATGAAAAGCAAATTCAATTGCTGCCTCGTCGCTTGCTGTTGCTTCTGCTGTTGCTTCTGCCACGGTTGGAAGCTGCTGTGCTGCCTCCATTTGACGGATTCGACGAGCCGTTTCAAATCTGTATCAGGGGGACAGTTGATTGGTGGTACAAGTAGAAGGCATATGGGAGCATTGTTGGTACTAGTACCATTGGACCGAGGTGACTTTTGAGTCGACTCAAAAATCAATTGATTGGTGGTACAAGTAGAAGGCATGTGGGAGCATTGTTGGTACTAGTACCATTGGACCGAGGTGACTTTTGAGTCGACTCAAAAGTCAATTGATTGGTGGTACAAGTAGAAGGCATGTGGGAGCATTGGTACTAGTACCATTGGACCAAAGCAATGGTGGCTGGCCGCAATGGCGGTGGTGAGAAGAGACAGGGAGGGCATGTGGGGTGGAGATGGGTCAGGGAGGGCAAGTGGGGTTGAGATGAGGCAGGGAGGGCATGTGTGGGGTGAGACAGAGAGAGCATTTTGGGGCGTGAAAGAGGGCACCCCTAAGGGTGAGGCAGTGAAACACTCACCCATCAATGCCGGGGGGCATGTGGAGGTCCAGCAGCAGTAGTTGGAGGCACGAGGAGGGGGGGTGGGGAGAGGGGTCCATGTGGGAGGAGACAGCTTGCAGGGTGTCCTCTCCTGAAGCCAGCAGCAGCACGTCTGCCCCGTAGCCCTGCAGCGTTCGCCGCGCCACCATGCGGTTCACCGCGTTATCATCCACCACTGCCACCCGCCGCCCCGCCACCGCCGCCCGCACCGCCGCCTCTACGCCGCCCGCTCCGCCGCCCAAACCTCCCCCAACAACCCCCCCCACAACCCCCATGCTGCTCCCCCCCAAGCTGCTCCCGAAGCCGCCTGCTCCTAAGTGGGGAGAGAGCTCTGGCATGGCTTGTAGCCGCAGGCTTACGGGGCTTAGAGGGGCCGCTGGGCTTAAAGGGTTGAGTGGACTCAACGGGGCGATTGGGCTCAAAGGTGCCACTGGGCTTAAGAGGACAGAGTGCAAAGAGGAGCTCCAAGAATGGCCTCTGGGACCCTGCATCCAGTGCTGCTGCACCCCTCTGGATTGCCCCTCACGCCCCCCCAACGCTTGCTGCTGCTGCCCCCAGGTTTGGTTGGGGGGGGCGGTGCAGAGAGGGGTAGGGCCAGAAGGATGGTGGTGCTGATGACACTGTCTGACAGCACTGCCATGCTTCCCCGCATCTCCGCCACCTGGGGTGGAGTGGAGAGGGGTGGGGAGGAAAGGAGAGTGACAGGGAAGAGTGGGGAGGGTTGTGAGTGGAGGGTTGTAGTGTATGCCCTCACAAAACATGTATGACACGTTCTGGACCCGTCCATCGTGATAAAAGAGTGTCTTTGAGACAACCCGTTCCCTCTACCCGTAAAGTGTGAGAGCCACAACCCCTTCTGGACCCTTCCTTCGTCCTTAGCAAGGTGGTAACACTCACCCCGGACTTAGCAAACTCAACATTGTGTCATCAACAGACAACCGGACTGTCAATTTGGTCGCCATGACACTCTTGAGGCGACAATGCAGTTGAGTATTGCAGCACTCACGAGGGAGGTGGAGAGAAAGAACCGGACTGGTTCACTCGTAGCAACACCTACTAACGAGGTCGAGAGAAGGAGGCACTCACGAGGGAGGTGGAGAGGAGGAGGCACTCACGAGGGAGGTGGAGAGGAGGAAGCACTCACGAGGGAGGTGGAGAGGAGGAAGCACTCACAAGGGAGGTGGAGAGGAGGAAGCGGACAGGGTAGGGCGTCTAGGCGGGGCGAGCAGCAGCCCTCTCGTCGTGCGTGAGAGGGGTGGCTCTGCTGCCCCTCCTTGGCTGCTGTGTATGCGCACCGCAGAACAAGCACACAAAAAGCGGGAGGCAAGTGAGATAGGGGGAGTGTTAAGAAAGAGTTGGAGAGAGAGGCATGGCTCTGCTGGCCCTCCTTGGCTGCTGTGCGGCCAGCAGGATAAGCACGAGGGAAGAGAGAGAGGGGGAGTGATAAGAGAGAGAGGGAGATAGAGGGCTGCAAAAAGGGGTAAGTGGTTTGTTGAAGAATGTAGGGCACAGAGAAACCCAAAAGCAGCATCCAAGAAGGGAAGGGAGATTCAATGCGCACAACTGTCGACGTTCTCACATGCACACACGGACGCACGCATGCACTCATGTCCCGCTTCACTCACCATGATTCTTCGTTGCTTCTTGCTGTCACCACGCCCACCAGCAGCAGCATCAGGGCCACCAACAGCAGCAGCAGCATCAATGCCACCAGCAGCACCAGCAGCATCAGCATCAGCAGCAGCAGGGGAGCGCGTGGAGTGGTGAGGGTCGCCGCCATACGGATCCAGCACCCACCGCATCTCCTCGGGTGGTATACCACTGCCCGTATCCTCACAGACCATCACCACCATCCACTCGCCCTCCCCTCTCGCCCTGCACGCCCCCTCCGCCCACGCCGCCACCTCCCTCTCTAGCCGGCCATCTCCACCACTCTCCATATTTGTGTTTTGCCGCTCACCCACACACGATGCCTCTGCACCTCTCGCCCTGCACGGCCCATCCACCCACGCCGCCACCTCCCTCTCTAGCCGCCCTCCCATACCACTCTCCACCCGCCCTTCCTGACCACTCTCCACCCACTCATCTCCACCACTCTCCACACCTACGCTTTGCCGCTCACCTATACACGTTGCCTTCGCACCTTTCCCTCCTCCCCACTCTTTCAGCAGGCCCAGCCTTCCTAACCCTCCCAACCCTGCCAGCCCTGCCAACAGCCCTTCACCCTGACTCTCTGCTTGTGCGGAGAGACTTCCTAGGGGTGCTGTGCGGTGCCGAGGGGTGCACACTGTCAGAACATTATAGCTTATACATTTGTGTAGGCTGTAGTGGGGTAGCCCATAAGGGGTACAACCCAATTAGGGTTAGTACTTGTACCCAACTCTTTCATAGTTCAATCATTCTCGTTTCTCATCATGGTATCGAGCAGGTTCCCGAGTGGGAATGCTGCCTAGGGCCCACCACGATTTTTTTTTTTTCCCTGCCGGGAGCGCGCTTCACTCCTACCCGAGTAGCGCCTCGAGTGCCTTACCTACCCTCGAGCCGCCCTTAGTGGCCCCCCTTCGCGCCGCCCTTACGGCCCCTTACGACCCCGTCTGGCCCCTTACGGCCCCGCTTAGGCCCCTTACGGCCCCGTCGCGGCCTCGCCTAGGCCCCTCCGCGGCCCCGTCTGGCCCCTTACGGCCCCGCCTAGGCCCCTTACGGCCCCTTCGCAGCCTCGCCTAGGCCCCTCCGCGGCCCCGTCTGGCCCCTTACGGCCCCGCCTAGGCCCCTTACGGCCCCTCCGCGGCCCCGCCTAGGCCCTTCCGCGGCCCCGTCTGGCCCCTTACGGCCCCTTACGGCCCCGCCTAGGCCCCTTACGGCCCCTTCACGGCCCCGTCTAGGCCCCTTGCGGCCCCGCCTAGGCCCCTCCGCGGCCCCGTCTGGCCCCTTACGGCCCCGCCTAGGCCTCTTACGGCCCCGCCTAGGCTCCTTACGGCCCCTTGCGGCCCTGTATAGGCACCTCCGCGGCCCCGTCTGGCCCCTTTACGGCCTCGTTTAGGCCCCTCTGCGGCCCCGTCGCCACCTGCGGCCCCGTCGCCACCTGCGGCCCCGCCGCCACCTGCGGCCCCGCCGCCACCTGCGGCCCCGCCGCCACCTGCGGCCCCGTCGCCACCTGCAGCCCCGCCGCCACCTGCGGCCCCGCCGCCACCTACGCCCCCCCCCCCCCCCCCCCCCCCCCCCCGTCACCTGCGGCCCCGTCACCCTACCCTAGCGGCCGAGCAGCACAGCAGCCGAGCCGCCCGCCTATCGAGCAGCCGAGCCGCCCCGCAGACGAGCCACCCAACAGCCGAGCCGCCCAACAGCCGAGCCGCCCAGCAGCCGAGCTGCCCTGCCGCCGAGCCGCCAAGCAGCCGAGCCGCCCTGCAGCCGAACCGCCCCGCCGCCGAGCCACCGAGCCGCCCTACTGTCTAGCAGCTGCTGTTCCTACCGATGCTCCCCGGCCACTCCTTCCTCGGACTGGTGAGCTCACTTCCTCTTAGGCCACTGCAGTCATGGCTACCCCCAGTGTCCTCACTTTTGATGCTGAGGGCCGTGCCGTTGACTTTGAGGTCTGGGTCGATGACCTCCAGCTGTTTCTTCAGTGCGATAGGGCGGACGGCCTCTCCCTGTTTGACCTCACTTCTGGTGCCTCTCCTGCCCGTGCTGCTGATGCCGACGCCACTGTTCGCTCACAGTGGGCCACGCGCGATGCTGTTGCTCGCCTTGCTGTGCGCCGCCACTTACCAACCACTGAGCGTGCACACTTTAGCCAGTACAAGAGTGCTCAGACCTTGTACGACGCTGTAGTTGCACGCTACTCTTCCCCTGCCACTGCTGCACTCAGCCGCCTCATGCTACCGTACCTCTTCCCTGATCTTGCTGCCTTTCCCACAGTTGCTGACCTCATTACGCACTTTCGCACTAGTGACACTGGCTACCGCGCTGCACTTCCTGCTGAGTTCTGCGCCAAGAACCCCCCCCCATGTACATCACCCTCTACTACATAGTCACCCGGCTCCCAGACTCTCTTCGCGTAGTCAGGGACCACTTCCTCTCAGTTTGCCCCACCACTCTCACCGTTGACCTCCTCGAGAAAGCCCTCCTAGCGATAGAGAAGAGCATAGTCGCTGTAGGAGCCTCTCGTGGTGACCCTCGCACACCTGTCTTTGAGGGGTGTTCTCCCTCCCCCCTCTTGCCCTCTGTTGCCTCTGCTGCTGCGGCCGACCTCGTTGGTTTCGAGTCGGTCGGCGCTGCGTCTGCCCCGAGCGGGAGATGCCGCACCGGCAAGGGCAAAGGGGGCAAGGGCGCTGAAGGGGCTGGAGGGGGCGGTGGAGGTGGTGGTGGAGGCAGTGGAGGGAGTGGGGGTGGTGGTGGGAGTGGTGCCGGGGGTGGCAGCGGCGGCGGAAGCAGTGGAGGAGGCGGAGGCGGTGGAGGTGGCGGAGGGAGCGGAGGCGGCGGAGGTGGCGGAGGAGGCGGAGGTGGAGGAGGCGGCGGAGGCGGTGGCGGCGGAGGCGGCGGCGGTGGTGGAGCGGGTCGCGACACTGCGCAGAGAAGTGGCGCCGGTGGTGGTCAGCGCCAGCAGCAGCGGAGTGGTGTAACCCTGTCCCCTCAGCAGCTTCGTGAGTGGTACACTGCGCGTCAGCGAGGTGGGGGTTTTGGTCCCTGCGCTTACGTCCTTCGTACAGGCGACCGAGCTGGTGAGCAGTGCGGAGGCCTGCACTCCACCCAGCGCTGCTTTGGTCGCCTGACGGACGCGTGGCGTCGCCAGTTCCCTGAGGCGTCAGAGATCCCTCGCTGGGGAGATCTGTCTAAGGCTGGGGTTGCTATCTTTGATCTTGACTTTGATGCTATTCTTGCTGCCATGTATGCTGTTGATGCTAGTGTTGCTGGTGAATGTTACCTGTGTGTACCGCCTGACCCGGGCATTGAGGCCGCTGCTCTAGGTACTGGTGAGGCTGCTAATCTAGGTGCTAGTGCTTCTGGTGCCCCAGGTGCCAGTGCGTCTGCCGCCACAGGTACTGGTGAGTCTGCTCTCTCAGATATTGCGTCGGCTCAGGCCACCTTCACCCTGGACTCGGGTGCGTCCCGCTCCTTCTTTCGAGACCGCACCACTCTTACGCCGCTCAGTCCGCCGGTTGCAGTCTCCCTGGCAGACCCCTTTGGGGGTCCTGTCCTTGCTAGCTTCTCCACTTTCCTACCGTGCCCGGCAGCCTCCTCTGGCACCCTGTCAGGTCTCTACCTCCCCTCGTTCTCTACAAACTTGGTGAGTGGAGCGGATCTACAGGATAGGGGGGTTGACCAGTTCACTCCTGCGAGTCAGCGAGTGACCCACTGCACATGTGCTTGGACAGGCCGACACTTGGCCACGTTCATCCGTCGGCCAGGGTCGAGCCTGTACACCCTTACTACTGAGCCTCCTCATGCTGCTGAGTCAGCCCGGGTAGCTGCGTCGAGTCAGGTGTTTGCTGCGGCGTCTAGGTCTGGTCCTGAGTCTGCCCCCTGCTCGTGTCGTCTGCTGTCCCACCAGACTCTCCTTTGGCACCACCGCCTTGGTCACCCCTCCTTGCCTCGTCTCCGAGGCATGGCCTCCCGTGTCCTTGTCTCTGGTCTCCCTCGGTCTCTCCCTCCCCTTCCTCCGGGGCCTGGCCCTACCTGCGTCCCCTGCGTCGGGGGGCGACAGCGCGCCGCCCCTCACTCCTCCGAGTTTCCTCAGACAGAGGCTCCGCTGCAGACTCTCCACATGGACGTGTGGGGCCCAGCCCGCGTCAGTGGGCAGGGGCGAGAGCGGCACTTTCTGCTGGTGGTTGACGACTACTTGTGTTACACCACAGTCTTCCTCTTGCGCAGCAAGGGTGACGTCACTGAGGTGTTGATCGACTGGATCCGCGCAGCTCGTCTCCAGCTCAGAGAGAGTTTCGGCTCGGACTTTCTTGTTCTGCGTCTGCACTCGGACAGAGGCGGACAGAGACTTTCCTGTTTTCCTCTGCCCGTCTGGGAGCCTTCTGTCGTGCACAGGGCATCCGCCAGACCTTCACGCTTCCGGCCTCTCCACAACAAAATGGGATTGCTGAGCGCCGCATTGGCATGGTCATGGACGTCGCTCGTACGTCCATGATGCATGCGGCTGCCCCCCATTTTCTGTGGCCGTTTGCGGTTCAGTACGCCGCGCATCAGCTCAACCTTCAGCCCCGGGTCTCCTTGCCAGAGACCTCCCCCGCCTTAGGGTGGACAGGGAAGGTTGGCGATGCGTCTGCGTTTCGGGTCAAGGGATCTCGGGCGTTTGTCCGCGACTTGTTTACGGACAAGCTATCCCCCCGTGCAGTTCCCTGCCTCTTCCTTGGCTTCCCCCCTGACGCGCCTGGGTGGCAGTTTTACCACCCCACCTCGCGCCGTGTTCTATCCTCCCAGGACGTCACCTTTGACGAGTCGGTGCCTTACTAACGTCTCTTCCCCTACCGCACTGCGCCCCTCCCCCCGCCGGCGCTCTTCCTTGCGCTAGGTCCTCCCCAGGTAGACCCCCTCCCCCCTCAGGGTCCTGCCCTGTCAGGTGTGTCCCACGTAGACGTAGTCGAGCCTGTCGAGGTAGCTGTTGACTCTGGTGCTGCTAGAGGTGCTGAGCCTGCAGGTGCCGGGTCTGGGGGTGCTGAGTCTGGGGGTGCTGAGACTAGGGGTGCTGAGCCTAGGGGTGCTGGGTCTGGGGGTGCTGAGCATGGGGGTGCTGAGCAAGGAGGTGCGGAGCCTGGGGGTGCTCGGTCTGCTCGTGTGGCCGCCGGCGGTGCTTCGTCGAGGCGGGAGCCGCTCTCTCCACAGGAGTTGCGCGAGTGGTTTGCCCGCCGGTGGAGACGTGCTGCTGAGACTAGGGGTGCTGCTTGAGCTACTGGAGTTGGTCCTGCTGGAGCTGCTGGCGGTGCTGGTGCTACTGGAGGTGGAGCTGCTGGGGTTGTTGGCGCTGGTGTTTCTACTAGTGCTGGTGCGTCTGGGGGTGCTGCTCAGGCTGCTGGTGCTGACGGTCCTACTGGATTTGGTGCTGCTGGAGCTGGAGCTGCTGAGGGTGTTGGCGCTGGCGGTGCTGCAGGCGCTGGTGCTTCTGAGGGTACTGGAGTTGGCGTTGTTGGAGCTGGAGGTGCTGCTGGCGCTGGTGCTGTCGCTGGTGGTACTGGTGCCATCCTTGCTGGTTCTGGAGGCGCTGAGCGGCCGAGGCCGTACTTCGTTCCGCTCCTGGAGCAGGTTCTTGGTCTCCCGCCCTCTCCAGGTCCTGCTCCTCCCTTAGAGTGTCCACAGCCTGTCCAGTCGCAGTCACAGTTACAGCCCGCCTCCCCGCTACCTGCTCCTTCTCCCTACACTGGTCCTACAGGAGGTCTTGCTGAGCATCGTGAGCCTGCGTCTCGTCCTGCGTCGCCTGTTCGTGCTGCTCGCACTAGTCGTCGTGCTGCGCGTCCGCGTCTTCGTGCGGTCCCCGGCACACACTAGATGGCACTGCGTCCTTCCACTACTCCTCTGCAGGTCCCGTTGCCGTCTCCTCCAGAGTCCTCTCTTCCTTCTCTTTCTAAACGACACGAGCAGGGGGCAGACTCAGGATCAGACCTGGACGCTGCAGCAAACACCTGACTCGACACAGCTACCTGGGCAGACTCAGCAGTCGGAGGAGACTCAGTAGTAAGGGTGTACAGGCTCAACCCTGGCCGACGAGTGAAGGTGGCCAAATGTCGGCCTGTCCGAGCACACGTGCAGTGGGTCACTCGCTGACTCGCAGGAGTGAACTGGTCAACCCCTCGATCCTGTAGGTCTGCTCCACTCACCAAGTTTGTAGAGAACGAGGGGAGGTAAAGACCAGACAGAGTGCTAGAGGGGGCTGCAGGGCACGGAAGGACAGTGGAGAAGCTAGCAAGGACAGGACCCCCAGAGGGGTCTGCCAGGGAGATTGCAACCGGCCGACTAAGCGGCGTAAGTGTAGTGCGGTCTTGAAAGAAGGAGCGGGACGCACCCGAGTCCAGGGTTAAGGTGTGGAAGGCCTGAGCCGAAGAAGTACCTGAGAGAGCAGACTCACCAGCACCTGGGGCGGCAGAGGCACTAGCACCTGGGGCAGTAGACGCACTAGCACCTAGAGCAGCAGTCTCACCAGCACCTAGCGCAGCAGCCTCAATGCCCGGGTCATGCGGTACACACAGGTGATAGGCACCCTCAACACTATCAGCAACAGCATACATGGCAGCAAGAATAGCATCGAAGTCAAGATCAAAGATAGCAACCCCGGCCTTGGCCAGATCTCCCCAGCGAGGGATCTTTGACGCCTCAGGGAAGTGGCAACGCCACGCGTCCGTCAGGCGACCAAAGCAGCGCTGGGTGGAGTGCGGACCTCCACACTGCTCACCAGTGCGGTCGCCGGTACGGAGAATGTAGGAGCAGGGACCAAAACCCCCACCGCGCTGGCGTGCAGTGTACCACTCACGAAGCTGCTGAAGGGACATGGTCACACCACTTCGCTGCTGCTGCTGGCGCTGACCACCACCGGAGCCACTCCTCGGCGCAGAGTCGCAACTCGCGCCACCACCGCCACCGCCGCCTCCGCCGCCGCCTCCGCCGCCCGCCTCCTCCACCTCCGCCTCCTCCACTACCTCCGCCGCCTCCGCTCCCTCCGCCACCTCCACCGCCACCGCCGCCTCCACTGTTGCCGCCGCCGCCACCACCCCGGGCACCAGTCCCACCACCACCCCCACTCCCTCCACCGCCTCCACCACCACCTCCACCGCCCCCTCCACCCCCTCCAGAGCCCTTGCCCCCCTTGCCCTTGTCGGTGCGGCGTCTCCCACTCGGGGCAGACGCAGCGCCGACCGACTCGAAACCAACGAGGTCGGCCGCAGCAGCAGAGGCGACAGAGGGCAAGAGGGGGGAGGGAGAACACCCCTCAAAGACGGAGGTGCGAGGGTCACCACTAGAGGCTCCTACAGCGACTATGCTCTTCTCTATCGCTAGGAGGGCCTTCTCGAGGAGGTCAAGAGTGAGAGTGGTGGGGCAAACAGAGAGGAAGTGGTCCGTGACTACGCGGAGAGAGTCAGGGAGCCGGGTGACTATGTAGTAGAGGGTGATGTACATGGGGGGGGGGTTCTTGGCGCAGAACTCAGCAGGAAGCGCAGCGCGGTAGCGAGTGTCACGAGTGCGGAGGTGCGTAATGAGGTCAGCGACAGTGGGAAAGGCAGCGAGGTCAGTGAAGAGGAAGGGAAGCATGAGGCGGCTCAGTGCAGCAGTGGCAGGGGAAGAGTAGCGTGCAACTACAGCGTCGTACAAGGTATGAGCACTCTTGTACTGGCTAAAGTGTGCACGCTCAGTGGTCGGTAAGTGGCGGCGAACAGCAAGGCGAGCAGCAGCATCACGTGTGGCCCACTGTGAGGGAACAGTGGCGTCAGCATCAGCAGCAGGGGCAGGGGAGGCACCAGAAGTGAGGTCAAACAGAGAGAGGCCGTCTGCCCTATCGCACTGCAGAAATAGCTGTAGATCATCTACCCAGACCTCAAAGTCCACCGCCCGACCCTCAGCGTCAAAAGTGAGAACACTAGGGGAAGCCATAACAACAGTAGGCAGGCAGTGAGTGCAGTGAGGCAGGGCAGTGCAGTGGCAGAGACTGGGCTCTTACCAGGCAGGTGGGGCGATCAGGCTGCTTGGCGGCTCGAGTGCAGGGCGGCTCGACTGCCGGGCGGCTCGGCTGCACGGTGCTGGGCGGCTCGGCTCTTGGGCGGCTCGGCTGCACGGTGCTGGGCGGCTCGGCTGTCGGGCGGCTCGGCTGCCGGGCGGCTCGGTTGTCGGGCGGCTTGGCTGCTGGGCGGCTCGGCTGCCTGGCGGCTCGGTTGTTGGGCGGCGGGGTCGCAGATGGCGGCTGGCCGCAAGGGTGGGCGGGGCCGCGGTGGCTACAGGACGGGGCCGTAGCACGGGCCTAAGAGGGGCCGTAGCGGGGCCTAAGAGGGGCCGACGGGGCCGAAGTGGGGCCGCAGCAGGGCTGACGGGGCCGAAGGAGGGGGCCGTAGCGGGGCCGTAATGGGGGCCGCAGCGGGGCCGAAGTGGGGCCGACGGGGCCTTAGCGGGGCCGTAGCGGGGCCGTAGCAGGGCTGTAGCGGGGCCGAAGTGGGGCCGACGGGGCCTTAGCGGGGCCGTAGCAGGGCCGACGGGGCCGTAGCGGGGCTGTAGCGGGGCCGCAACGGGGCCTAAGTGGGGCCGACGGGGCCTTAGCGGGGCCGTAGTGGGGCCGACGGGGCCGTAGCGGGGCTGCAGCGGGGCCGACGGGGCCGTAGCAGGGCTGTAGCGGGGCCGAAGTGGGGCCGACGGGGCCTTAGCGGGGCCGTAGCGGGGCCGACGGGGCCGTAGCGGGACTGTAGCGGGGCCGCAACGGGGCCTAAGTGGGGCCGACGGGGCCTTAGCGGGGCCGTAGTGGGGCCGACGGGGCCGTAGCGGGGCTGCAGCGGGGCCGCAGTGGGGCCGACGGGGCCTTAGCGGGGCTGTATCGGGGCCGCAACAGGGCCTAAGTGGGGCCGACGGGGCCTAAGCGGGGCCGCAACGGGGCCGACGGGGCCTACGCGGGGCCAATCGGGGCCATAGCGGGGCCTAGGCGGGGCTGTAGCGGGGCCGACGGAGCCTAAGCGGGGTCGACGGGGCCTAAGCTGGGCCGACGGGGCCGTAGCGAGGCCTAAGCGGGGCCGACGGAGCCTAAGCGGGGCCAAAGCGGGGCCGACGGTGGGCGGCTCGAGGAGCAGTAAGGGCGGCCAAAAGGGGCCACTAAGGCGACTCGGGGCGCTACTCGGGTTAGGAGCTAAGCGCGCTCCGGGAAGGGAAGGAAAAAAAAATACTTGGTGGGCCCTAGGCAGTATTCCCACTCGGGAACCTGCTCGATACCATGACGAGAAGTGAGAATGGATGAATGAACTATGAAAGAGTTGGGTACAAGTACTAACCCTAATTGGGTTGTACCCCATATGGGCTACCCCACTACAGCCTACACAAATGTATAAGCTATAATGTTATGACAGGATGAGCATATTGCCGAGCACTCGTTCAGTTCGTCTCGAACATGTTCGAGACGAACCGAACGGGATTTTTTTTTGCCCAAAAATGTTCGACACAAACCTGTTCGATGTTCGTGCGAACGTGTTCGGTGTTCGCCCGCGTCGATATGCCGAGCCGCGTCGAGCACGAACACGTTCGTGTTCGACGCGGGACATCGACGAACACCTAAGTGTTCGTCGACGAATTGGCCGCGACCTAATTTAGGGTCGCGGCCAATTCATTTCAACTCGTTTTTTTTAGCTCCGCGACCCTGTCGCAATCGCTGCCACCAGCACGCCCTCTACCACCCTGCCACATCCTCACCTCACCTTACTCTACTACTAGCCTAGAACGGAAGATATGCTACAACGCTTAGGTTAGTCGAGTTGGGAACGACACTTACTCCGCGCGCTCAAGTTGAAGGGCACCGATTAGGGTTCCCACCGTAATCTAGTGTTTTGTATTGCTCAGCCCTCGAAGGCGAACACAAACATGTTCCTGGAGAACATGTTCGTGTTCGCCAAAGTGTTCGAAATGTTCGCCTTCACAGGCGAACTTCGAACACCCCTTTTGACAAAAAGTGTTCAGCGAACCGAACACTGTTCGGTTTGCTGAACGGCCATGTTCAAGCCAAGGCGAACGCGAACATGTTCGTGTTTGCCTCGTGCTCATCCCTAGTTGGGAGTGTCAGAACATATAGCTTAGTTGTTTCTGTAGGCTATAGTGGGGTATCCCATAGGGGGTACAACCCAAATTAGGGTTTCCTATTTGTACTCACTTCGTTCATAGTCATTCCATTCTCGTTCATATTTTCTCATGGAATCAGAGCAGGTCCCTTCCTAGGGACTGTTCCTAGGGCCCACCGAAGCGCGCCCCGAGGCGCGCGTTTTTTTTTTAGCGACCCTCCGTGTCGCCCTCACCACCGTGCTCTCGCTTAGGCCCCTCGTCGGCCCCGCTTAGGCCCCTCGTCGGCCCCGCTTAGGCCCCTCGTCGGCCCCGCTTAGGCCCCTAGTCGGCCCCACTTAGGCCTCGTCGGCCCCGCGTAGGCCCCGTCGGCCCCGCTTAGGCCCCGCTTCGGCCCCGCGTCGGCCCCGCTTAGGCCCCGTCGGCCCCGCTTAGGCCCCGCTACGGCCCCTCGTCGGCCCGCCTAGGCCCCGCTACGGCCCCTCGTGGGCCCCGCCTAGACCCCGTCGGCCCGCCGTAGGCCCCGCTCCAGCCCGCCGTCGGCCCCGCTATAGCCCGCCGTCGGCCCCGCTACAGCCCGCCGTCGGCCCCACTACAGCCCGCCGCCGGCCCCGCTACAGCCCGCTGTCGGCCCCGCCCCAGCCCGCCGCCGGTCCCGCTACAGCCCGCCGTCGGCCCCGCTACAGCCCGCCGCCGGCCCCGCTACAGCCCGCCGTCGGCCCGCCGTCGGCCCCGCTACAGCCCGCCGTCGGCCCCGCTACAGCCCCGCTACAGCCCCGCTACAGCCCCGCTACAGCCCGCCGCCGACCCCGCTACAGCCCCGCTACGGCCCGCCGTCGGCCCCGCCGCCCGTGCTGCAGCCCGCCGCGCCACCGTGCACCCGCCCGTGCAGCCGCCCACCGTGCCGCCCGTGAGCAGCCCCAGCCGCCCGTGAGCCGCCCGTGCAGCCGCCCGCGCCGCCCGTGAGCCCCTGCGTCACCCGAGCCGCGCGAGCCGCCCGAGCCGCCCGAGCCGCCAGTGGAGCCGCACTCCTGCTCCTGTGGGGCCACTGCTGCTCCTGGGCTGTGTTACAGTGCCGCTGACCTACCCGACTTTTCCTGCCCGGTGAGACTGTCAGCTGCTGTCATGGCCACCCCCACTGTCCTAGCTTTTGACGCTGAGGGTAGAGCCATTGACTTTGCAGCCTGGATTGAAGACCTGCAGCTGTACTTACTGTGTGATGCGATAGATGAGGTCTCTCTCTTTGACTTTGTCTCTGGCACTGTCCCTGCCCCTCCTGCTGATGCTGACCCCGCCGTTCGCTCCAAGTGGGCGACCCGCGATGCTGCTGCACGTCTTGCTGTGCGTCGCCACCTCCCTTCCTCCGAGCGTGCCCACTTTAGTCAGTGCAAGACCGCTCAGGCCTTGTACGACGCTGTAGTTGCACGCTACTCCTCCCCTTCATCCGCTACACTTAGCCGCCTCATGCTATCGTTTCTCTTCCCTGACCTCGCTGCCTTTCCCACTGTTGCTGACCTCGTTACCCACCTCCGCGCTAGTGACGCTCGCTACCGCGCTGCCCTTCCTGCTGAGTTCCGCGCCGCAAACCCTCCTCCCATGTACATCACTCTCTACTTTCTCGTCACTCGTCTCCCTGAGTCCCTTCGTGTAGTTAGGGACCAGTTTCTCTCTGTCTGTCCCACCACCCTCACTGTCGACCTCCTTGAGGAGTCCCTGCTAGCGGCTGAGAAGAGCATCGTCGCTATAGGGGCCTCTCGGGGTGACCCTCGCACCCCCATTTTTGAGGGGTGTTCTCCTTCCCCCCTGCTGCCCTCTATCGCCTCTGCCGCTGCGGCCGACCTCGCTGGTTTTGAGTCAGTCGGTGCGGCGTCTGCCCCCAGCGGTAGACGCCGTAATGGCAAGGGCAAAGGGGGCAAGGGAGCGGGTGGAGCTAGAGGGGGCGGTGGCGGGGGAGGTGGGGGTGGCGGGGGGAGTGGGGGTGGCGGTGGAGGTGGTAACGGGAGTGGAGGTACTGGTGGAGGCGGTGGAGGCGGAGGTGGCGGCGGAGGAGGTAGCGGAGGAGGCGGGGGTGAGGGTGCCGGTGGGGGCGGTGGCGGTGGAGACGGGGGTGGCGGTGGAGGCGGGGGTGGCGGTGGCGGCGGGGGTCGGAGTGGCTCGTCTCAGCGGAGCAGCTCTGGGGGTGGTCAGCGCCAGCAGCAGCAGCAGCAGCAGCAGCCACAGCAGCAGCAGCGCTCTCGCACCGTCCCCGCCCCTCACCAGCTCCGTGAGTGGTACTTGCAGCGTCAGCGTGGTGGTGCGTTTGGTCCCTGCCCCTACGTTCTTCGCACCGGCGACCGTGCGGGGGAGAGGTGTGGAGGCACCCACACAGCCCGCCGCTGCTTTGGCCGCCTGACCGACGCCTGGCGTCAGCAGTTTCCGGAGGCCGCTGAGATCCCCCGCTGGGGGGAGCTGTCTAGGGCTGGTGTAGCTATTTAAGATCTTGACTTTGATGCTATTCTTTCTGCTATGTATGCTGTGACTGGTAGTGATGAGGATGACTGTTACCGGTGTTTCCCGCCCGACCCGGGCATTGGTACTACTGCGTCCGGTACTCGTGAGGCTGCTGCTCTAGGTGCCAGTGCGTCTGTGCTCTCAGGTACTGGTGAGTCTGCCCTCTCAGGTACTGTGTCGGCTTCGGCCTCTCACACCTTCACCCTTGACTCTGGAGCGTCTCGCTCCTTCTTTCGGGACCGCACCACTCTCACGCCGCTGAGCCGGCCGGTTGCGGTGTCCCTGGCTGACCCCTCTGGGGGGCCTGTCCTGTCTCGCTTCTCCACGGTCCTTCCGTGTCCGGCGGCCCCCTCTGGCAC